CTCCTCCTCCTCCTCCTCCTCCTCCTCCTCTTCCTCCTCCTCTCTGCCCAGAGTGGCCCCTGGCTCAGCGCCTTGACTGTACAGTCGGGGCGCCGACCCAAGGAACCCAAAAGAAGGAGCGAGGCCCCTGCTTTCCATAAGTGAACCTTCGATTTCCCGTCGAAGACACAAGGAAAGCCTGAGGCAAGCTGTGAAACACTTAAGGAACACGGAGCCCCTCCCCAACGAAAGGGGGTCCTTCTTCAGGGCCCCGACTGTACGGCAGGTCCGTGTCGAAACGACACCAGCGTTGGTTTCTGAAACCACGTGCATCGCTCAGCCTTGAATGGTCGCGGCGTTCCGAACGCGAAGGTCGTTCGATGTCGGCCGATCCCAGACAACTGGGAGCATTCTGCCTTGAAAGCCCTCGCTGAGGTTGCCGCCGCGTCGACAAGAGACCAAGCTGCCGTGTTCGGTTGCGCGAAGGGGGGGAGCCAGGAAGAGGGAGGTCAGCGCATCATGACCCGAGGCACGTGCGCGAATGAGGGGGGCCAGGGGAGCGCATGGAGAGAGGAAGAGGAGGTGTCCAAGGAGGGAGGAGGACGAGGATGAAGAAGGAGGGGGCTCGTGGATCGAGGAGCGAGGATGGGCGAGGAATGAAGATCGAAGACCTACCCTCGCGACAGAAAACCACGTCCGGAGCCCTAGACCCATCTTTCTGCGGCATCTCTCGATCCAGATTGATTCGTCAGGGGCCCGGGGCCCCAAGCAGGGCGAAAAAGCCGGGAGTGAAAAAAATGCAGCACCCGGACCTCAGGGCATCGTTTCCCCCACACCCCTCCCTCCAACCACCCGCACGCACCCCAGCGGGGCCCCTCCGGAGTGGTCGACTGCTTCAAATGCGGCGACGCCGACAGCGAGTCCTGTTCCAGATGTATGCAGTCAAGCTGCCGCAATGAGGAACGCTGAATCAGGCATGAAGCCCCTCTTTAGCACCCGAAGAGCCTGGGTTCAAGAGGAGGATCAAAGGAACAACCACAGAGTGTCCTCGCACCCGCCCTCTCCCTCGCCCAACGGGCAGGGGGCCCCTCCGAAGTGATCGGACTGCAGCTGCGTCTGCAGCGGGCGCTGCTCCTCGCCGGGCGTGCGCACGCGCCGCGGGCTTCGCGGGCGGGCGCGCGGCGGGGCGGCGCCCGCCGGGCAGCAGGCGGGGGGGAGACGGGGAGCAGGCGGCGGCAGCAGCAGGACGAGGGGGAGGGGAGGCAGAAAAAAAAAAAAACAGTCCCCAGACTGTGCTTGGAGCCTTTTTGGACTATCTTTTGGGGTATTCTCTATGTTTCGAGGGGTCGAGGCCTCGGGACGCCGTCGGGCGAGCGCTCCCCGCCCCTCGGCGGTGATTTTTTTCGGCCTCGGGGCGCCTCGTCGGGCAGCTGCGCCTCGCAGGGGGAGAGCGCGCTCCGAGGGGGCGTGCCCGGGGGGTCCCCGCGACGGCCGCCAGAGGCCCGACGAGTCGTGACCGAAAGTCGGACGACGAGGGTCGCGGCCGATCTGCAGTCGGGGCCTTGACCTAAGGGAATCCAAAAGGAGGAACGAGGTCCCTGTTTTCCATAAGTGAAACTTCGATGTCCCGTCGAAAACGTGAGGAAAGCCCGAGGCAAGCTGCGGCCGATCTGCAAATCCTGTCGCTGCCGTTGCCACTGCACGCGAGGCTCCCCCATCTCGGGCCACAGAACAGTGCTCCAGATTTCGTAATAATAAGGGGGAGGGGGTCTGGACCCTCCAGGGCAAGCCACTTCAGACCTCCCCCGTGGGAGAACCCTCCAGGCCCTCCAAGATAGCCTGGAAGAGATCCCCCCCGAAATGAGACCCCCCTCCCTTTATTACGAAATCTGGAGTAAAGTTCCCCCATCTCGGGGCCTTGACCTAAGGGAATCCAAAAGAAGGAACGAGGTCCCTGTTTTCCATAAGTGAAACTTCGGTTTCCCGTCGAAGACGTAAGGAAAGCCTGAGGCAAGCTGCGAAACACTTGAGGAACGCGGAGCCCCTCCCCAACGAAAAGGGTTCCTTCTTCAGGGCCCCGACTGTACGAATCCTGTCGCTGCCGTTGCCACTGCACGTACTCCAGATTTCGTAGTAAAAGGGAGGGGGTCTGGACCCTCCAAGGCAAGCCATTTCAGACCTCCCCCGTGGGAGAACCCTCCAAAGCATCGTCCCCAGGCCCCCCAGGCCCTCCAAGATAGCCTGGAAGAGACCCCCCCCGAAATGAGACCCCCCTCCCTTTTACTACGAAATCTGGAGTACGTGCAGTGGCAACGGCAGCGACAGGATTCGTACAGTCGGGGCCCTGAAGGAGGAACCCTTTTCGTTGGGGAGGGGCTCCGCGTTCCTTAAGTGTTTCGCAGCTTGCCTCGGGCTTTCCTCACGTTTTCGACGGGAAACCGAAGTTCCACTTATGGAAAAAACCCGAAATGAGACCCCCTCCCTTTATTACGACATCTGGAGCACAAATCCTGGCGCTGCCGTTGCCACTGCGCGTGAGGTTCCCCCGTCTCGGGCCACGGAACGGTATCCACCACTGCGGCCCTCGACCCTCGGATCTCGGCCCTCGAGCGGGGGGGGGCGGAGGAGTTCGGACGCCGTCGGCACTTCTGCTCCGTATCGCCACGCGCTGACCTCAAGTTCTCCCCGCGCTCTGTCGATGCCACGGCACACCTCTCAAGTGCGCTCGATATGGCGGCGGCGATGATCGAAACTCGAACCAAGAGAGGATCTGGGCCCCTCCACTTCCGCGATCATCGTCCCTTCTCATCGCTCATCTCTTCTCCTCCTCATCCACGCACTCCTCATCCTCCTCATCCTCCTCCGCTCGAGGCCTGGGGACGTTTCAGTGCAGGGGTGAGAGACCCACTGAGGGCGTAGACCATCTCAGTGCGGGGGTGAGAGACCCACTGAGGTACCCTGGTCTGTGGATCGTGTCCCAGGCTTGCGCTGCTCAGGTCTGCTCTGTAGTGTGATGTTCTCCGGCGGCGTCATCGGCAACGAACCCGTGATGCGCATATCGACGTCAACACGCTCGTCTACTGACTTGCATGCCTTTCGGATTTCCCTGTGCAGTTAGGGATCACCTTTTCGTCGTTACAGCTGACCCTTTGTATAGTCCCTCGCATAACTGGGCCTTATAGCGGTCCACTCGACATTTTGTCTGGAGGCGGGGACAATCGGTGACTCGTTTATCTCTGTCGCCTTTATCTCTGCAGCGTGGCTGGGCAACATTTCACAAGGTGCGCTCTGTGAAGCATAGGCCGCGGTGGCTCCAACAGGCCTTGTGAACTAGTTGCGAACAAGTTCACAAAAGGAGCAAATGCTTGCACAAGTTTACTCTTGTGAACTACACCTCCCATGTAGCATCATTGTGCAGGTAGGGGGCTTTCCGTTCCACCTGGCCTGCCCTGTGTAGTTTCGCACTCCAGGTAACCAGTGCGCTCTGAGGGCGACCATAGTGTCCGCCCTGAGCAGTTTAGCATTTCCCTAGGGGATGCGAAGCGTCTCCTCGGGCTCAGAGGACAGGTAGCCCCTGTTCATTTTCATGGTCCGCGCTCATCATCCTCATAGACATCATATTCATAGCCATCATCACCACTAGCACAGCTCGTCATAATCAATATCAACATAGGTGTATCCTCGTCACCGTCGTCAGCAGCAGCATTGAAAGCATCACCATAACCGGCGTACTGACCAGCATCATCACGTCGTCACCCTCATCACCACCACCATCACGATCACCAGCACCATCACCATCACCATCCCCATCGTCATCATCATCGTAATCACCATCGTCAGTATCATCACCATCACCACCATCATCAGCATCATCATCAGCAGCAGCATCATCAGCATCATCATAAGCATCAGCATCATCATCAGCATCCTCACTATCCTCCTCCTCCTCCTCATCATCATCAGCATCATCGTGTTCAGCATCGTCATCGTCATCGTCATCGTCATCGTCATCGTCATCGTCATCGTCATCAGCAGCAACAGTACTAGCATAAGCGTAATCATCATTGTCAGCAGCAACATCGTTATCGTCAATATCAACATTGCAGTATCGTCATCGTCATCGTCGTCGTCATCAACATCACCAGCAGTATCGTCGTCGTCGTGGTCGTCGCCTTCGTGGTCGTCGTCGTCGTCGTCGCCACCACAATCATCAACCCCACCATCATCATCGCCGGCATCACCGCCGCGCCATCCCTGCTGTCCGACAAGTCCGAGAGAGCTAGATGCGGACAAGTCGTGGCTACGCTTCAGATACTGCCTCGGGGCCTGCTACCAATGTACAGCCAACCCTCGGGCAGCAAAAGGAAGACGAGAGAGACATGGAGAAGGAAGGAGAAAAGGGGAGGAGAGAGAGAGAGAGGAGGCAAAACAGTGGGGAGGGAGGAGGGAGGGGAAGGGCAGTGGAAGCAGTGGGGAGGGAGGAGGGCAGGGGAAGGGGCACTTGGGGAGGAGGGGAGGGAAAGGAGACAGGTTGAGAAAACAGAAGAAAGGAGGGAGGGAGGGAGATGGACGAGACACCGAGTAACCTGCTCGTCTCCACTGTAGCTCTCGTCAGTCTAGAACACTTGAGGATCTCGCACTACCAGACTGGAGCACCTGCAATCCAGCGCGCGAGGGCTTCGCACATGACCGAAGGCAGACCGAAGGCTTCACGGCGAGGGGGTCCGTGGCGGGCCGAGGGGGCCAGGCTGCTCTCGCCCCCCCCCCGGAGCGTGCACCACAGGTGGAGCCGACGGCGTCGGCATCGCACTAGACTGAAGTCGGGCGTGTCCCCCTACAGAGGGATTTGGGGCGAAAAATTAAAAATACTCAAAAAATATTCCCCAAATGCCAAAAACACGTCCCCGTACTATTTCTTACTATGTTTGAACTTCACTCCTGTAGAGGGACAGGCCCGACTTAACACTAAGATCGAGATGGCTGAACAGAGCGACGGGAGGAATGAGGCGCCGAGCACGGACGAAGCGTTACAGGGGGCGGGGGAAGGCACGAACGGGCAGGCAGAGAGGCGGGGCAGAGAGGAGGGACGAGGCTGCCGCTTCAGCACGCGAGGTGCACCGTTTCTGCGCATACGCTCTCGGCAACCGACAGGAGCGCGCTGAATGCTTCGCCTTACGTCTTTCGTGCCGCCGCAGGCAGGTTGGGGTTGTTGGCACGGTGCAGTCGTCAAAGGTTCGCAATGAGGACCCGTCGATAAGGAATGAAGCCCGTATGGGGCCTCAGTTGCGCCAAGATGCACGAGTAGTCCCCTAAGAAGATCCATGGAAAAATCTACGAACCGTCGAGCCTGTTTCCCGATACAAGAATAGACAGTACTCCAAACAAATCGTCTGTCGTCTGTAGTGATGTGCCTTGTGCACATAACGAGCAGGATTTTACCAGACGCCACATCCGCACACCAGGTATAGAATCACTGCTCCTACGCCTCATGGTGAGCAGCCTCGCACGCGGAACCCGAATGAGCAAATCCAACGAGCCCGTGTGGCAGTCTCACCTCAGGTTCCTGGGCAGTGAGAGGAGGGAGAAGGGGGGGGAAGAGGACGGGGAGGGAGGAGGAAGGGGAGCATCGCACCGCCTGGGGGCGTATCCCACGCATGATAGCTGAACTCGAAAAGCTCAGGCTAGAAAGGCGGAGGGGTGATCATAGTTGTCCCACTTTTCGCTCGCCCACTACCCGTATCAAAAGCCAATGCTAAACTGATCGTGGACACGCACAGACATACACAAACACGCACACACACACACACACACAGCAAACGCCATGCTGACCATCCCGCCGTCCCTTAGCACTGATGTTCGACAGGGATGGTGGGCGTTGCCACATTGCACGATGTGTGCTGTCACGTGCGCTGGCACACCTGACGCCGCCTGGCGCGCCCTGCGCGCGCCGAGCAAGTGGCGCACCTGGCGCGCCTGGAGCTCGTGGCACACTTGGCGCACGTGGCACACCAGGCCCGCCTGGCACGCTTGGGCCCCAAGGTCACGAAGCGCAACTGGTGCGCATGGCGTACCTGTCACTCGCGGCTCTCCTCGCGAGCGTCGCGCGCCTGGCGTCTGTATTGGTTCCCGACGGCTGTCCAGCCCGTGGCGCGACCTCCGCCTGCGCCGAGTCTTTGGTGCTCTGGCGGGAGGGCGGGCGGGAGTGCGCGAGACCGTCTGCCGCGTGCCCGCTGGGAGCTGAGCCTCCCCCCCCGAGGGGCCGAGGTGTCAGAGGGTCCCCCGTGGCCCAAGATTGCCTCGGATAGCCCAAAACGGCCTTCAATACGGTGCAAAATGGCCCCAGACATTACGGTTCGGAATGGCCCGCAAAACATGTTTCCAAGAGACCCCAATACTGCTCCAATTGACACCATGGCCTCCCAAAAAAGCCCCGACAGACAAATCAACATGAATTAAACAAAAAACAAACTAGGTTACTAAAGGTTGTGGCATTCTCGCCGTGTCGCTTCCGACGGGCTCCTGCAAGCTCGAGATGGCCCCAGTCGCCCAAGAGAGCCCCGATAGGGGCTCAGAAGAGGTCCAAGACGGCGCCAAGAGCGCCCAAGAGCGACCTAAGAGAGCTCCAAGAGGCGATTCCTCGTGCTCTAGAAGGGCAGTGCTAACCAGCGCCGGCCCTGCTGGCCCAAAGAGGACATTCCACGCTAAGGCTGGTGGATTATACGCAAAACCTGTTGCGCTCTACGCGAGCCCCAAAGGCCTACTCACGCTTCCGATTGATTCTACTCCACGTCCCTTGGAATACAATGTGGGACATGCTCTCGAACAGGAACATACCGTAGACGGACCTACACTTTCTCCGACCTTTTAACAAGCCGAACGCAACGACCGCACTGTGTATGTGTCCATAGACGCTTCAGGCTAGACGCTGCCCTCCAAACTGTCCCATCCGCCTCCTCCTCCTCCTCCTCGTCATCCTCCTCCTCCTCCAACCTCATCCTCATCATAATCATCATCAGCAGCATCAGCAGCATCACCAGCATCAGCATCATCATCATCAGCAGAATCAGCATAATCATGTCCATGATCATCCTCATCATCATCATCATCATCATCATCATCATCACCATCATCATCATCATCATCAGCATCATCATTATCATCATCACCACCACCACCACCACCATCATCATCATCATCCAAATCAGAATCATCATCGACAGCAGTATCATCAGCAGCATCAGCATCATCATCATCATCATCATCAGCATCATCAGCAGCAGCAACATCAACAGCATCATCATCACCAGCAACAGCATCAGCATCAGCATCATCATTAGCATCATCAGGATCATCAGCAGCATCGCCAACAGCATCAGCATCATCATCATCATCATCACATCATCAGCAGCGGCAGCAGCATCAGCATCATGTCGCCATCATCACCGACATCAGCAGAATCATCAGCATCAGCATCAGCATCATAATCATCCTCATCATCAGCAGCATCAGCATCATGTCACTGTTGTCGTCTTAAGCATCATCATGTTCATGATCATCAGCATCATCATTATCAGCAGCATCCGCATGAGCATCAGCATCATCATCACCATCAGCATCAACATCATCAGCAGCAGCATCATCATCATCGGCATCGTCATCGCCATCGCCATCACTATCACCATCGCCACTGTCATCATGGTTATTCTCAGCATCATCAGCATCGTAGTCATCATCATCTCCACCATCATCGTCACCACCATTACCATTATCACCATCACCACCATAATCATCATCATCATCATCATCATCATCATCATCATCATCCGCATCATCACCCGCATCATCAGTGTCATCGGCATCATCACCATCATCACCACCAGCATCATCACTACCACCATCCTCATCACCACCACCACCACCATCATCATCATCACTATCATCAGACTCAGCAACTCCATTTCTTGACATGCTCAGGGTTGATCCCGAATTCCGGTGTGATGGACGACGCATCACATCGTCCCTCCTCTGCATGCACCCACCTCTCTGATCGGGCAAACCTACCTAGCGATCGTGTCTGCACGGGCTGCACGGGCTGGTGGTGATACTTTTTAGTCAGCGGCCGCGGGCGAGCGCGCCGGCGGCGAGTCAGGTCAAAGCGGGCTACGCAGAGACTCATTAGGCAGAGGAAACGCGGGAAACATAGAACAGAGCAACGCGCGAGGCAACGGCAAAGCGCGGCCGAGGCCTCAGGTGGGTGGCTGAGGGGACTGAGACAGAGGGGAACGGCAAATGGAGGGGCAGGCTGAAACTGAGAAGTACTGCCAGTGTGCAAACATGCAGAACGTCGGAAACGTCAAAGTCGGTAAGAAACACGACCAGGGACAGAACAGATCAATTAGGGCAAAGGCACACTCCGAGCAACCGCGAAAGTACCAGGGTGGCCGCAGCCAGAAGACCGACTGTCGGAAGTCGAATTGAGGCCCAGAAGGCGTGAGCGTTGGCAAGCTGCGAAGAACCAGGGTGGCCGAAGCCGCGTGACCCGACGGCAGCGGAACGCACGCGTCCGAGAAACAGCGAAGCTGCCGCGCGACCAAAATGGCGCGGGGCACCGCGACGAGTGCGTGAGGCGGCGCCAGGAAAGTCGCACGCCAGAAGCCCTGAAGAGGGACAGGGGGCCCGCAGTCTGCACGCCGGCTGGTGGGGATACGCGGAGCGTCAAGAGAAAGTCACACATCACTGATCGCTCAATTCGGGGATCCTCGCATGTGCATCCCACTTCCTGGCGCCTCCCAATGTCAGCGACTGAGTGCGAGAGAGCCCCAGCCAGCTACATCGCGGTGAACATGGGGCTCTGAATAGTGGCCCCCCCCTCAGGTGCCAAAACAAGCGCCTCGCCCGAGACATCCACACCTCCTCACTATTGCTGGGCCTGTTTTCCACCACCACCACCACCACAAGTTGGAGGGGAGTAGGAGGAGGAGGAGGAGGAGGAGGAGGAGGAGGAGGAGGAGAACGAGGAGGAGGACCCCCTGCCCTCAGACTTATGGTGGTGGTGGTGGTGGAAAACAGGCCCCTCAACTATTTGCTCTGAAAGCGGAGGAACCAGAGCCGCGAAACGAGCGACTCGCTCAAGACATCCCCACAATCGAGGCGCGAACGGGCGAGCGAACAACCCCCTGGTGGCCAACGCTGGGACTAGAGCGCTATTACGCACAACGGGAGCAAAGCGCCGACCCTGAAACAAGATCAACGCAGCCACAGGAACACCATTCTGAAACACCGGCAACGTTCCGACTGAAAACAATCCAGATACACGCCACCTCTTGACCGATTGAAAATAGCCCAAATAAAGGCCACCTCTTGACGTCCTCCACGTTCAGAACTACATGTGTGCGGATCTGGGGACAGAGGAATACTCAGGTTGAGTCAAATCGCTGAGGCAGGGAGAAGACAGCCCCTTGAGTCGATTGTTGGGTCGGCGGAATGATGGCGCAGGCCTCTGGGATCAATGCGTCCACCTGGCACGGCAGCGCCCGCATCAGCAGTTCTCCATCCACTTAACTCCCGCCTCTCTCCTCCCCCATATTCCTTAGCCTCCCCCTCTCCTCTTCCCCCTCCTCCTCCTCCTCCTCCTCCTCCTCCTCCTCCTCCTCCTCCTCCTCCTCCTCCTCCTCCTCCTCCTGTATCTCCTCGTGCTACTGATCCTATCCCTGTACCTGTACTTCCTCCTTCTCCTCCTCCTCCTCCTCCTCCTTATGAATAGCTCCTGCCTGTCGCACCCACAGACGTGCAAATAGGGCGGGCCAGGCATTTCGCCAGAGACTTTCTCGCCATGTATGATCCTGAAGATGGAACTTTGTAGGAGCTTCGCGGATGGAGGGCAGGTGATCTTCAAAATGTAGTCCTCGCCTTAGCACCGATCAAATGCGCCTTGAAAACTTATAGCATGTTCAATGGTTCTTATGGCTGACATCCAAGGAACTGCGTTCTGGCACGATGTATGATGGTCGGGACGCAACAGTCACGTCGATTCGTGGTGTCAGATCCCAGGAATGGTGCTCTGGCACGGCTTAGAATTAATTGCCAAGACGCAACAGTCACGTTGATCCACGACGTTGGATTCCCAGGACTACCGTGTTGCACAGTTGAGGATGTGTCACACGGTGGTCTTTTAGTGTGCCACTTCCCGCAGTGAACTGTCCTGGCGAAGGGCCCCAGCATGTGAGGCTGCGGGCACCGCGAGGCAAGTGAGAAGAAGCAGGGGGAGGAGTGACGGGTGTGCCGACATGAGGCGAGTGCGCCATGCGGGCCCTGCCTCTCGTGCCGTGGGTGGAGCTCCCGGTGGGGGCCCGGCACCAGTGAGGGGTGAGCCGAATCGGATGCCTGCGGGCCCCGTCGCTGGGGCCTCTGGTGGAGCTCCCTGCCGCTGGGGCCCTCGGTGGAGCCTCCCATGGGGCCACGAAACGTGTGAAGGGTGTGCGTAGTCGGGTGCGGGTGCGCCATGCGGACCCTGCCGCTGGGGCCTTCGGTGGAACCCCTCTGGTACCACGAAACGTGTGAAGAGTGTGCCGAATCGGGTGCTGGTACGCCATGCGGACCCTGTCTCTGGGACCTTCGGTGGAAAGCCACGAAACGTGTGAGGGATGTGCCGAATCTGGTGCGGGTGCACCTTGCGATGACCCTGGCAAGAACCCCAATGAAGAGGAAACCTGGAGGGGGGGGTATTGCAACAACGTTGATGCGCTTGAGGGTTTACACTGGCCCTCCTATCGTTCCTCCTCCTCCTCCTCATTTTCCTCCTTCTCGTCCTCCTCGTCCTCCTCCTCCACCCCTTTGCCTCATACACAACGCCTCCCTGCCGCACCCGCCAGGCGTGTCAGCAGGACGGGCGCGGCGTTTCGCCCGAGACGTTCTCACCATGCATGATTCTGAAGCTTGATATTGTTCAATAGCTTCACGGATGGAGGGCGGCTGGCTTTCAAAGTGTGGCCCTCGCCTGATCGCCGCGCGCATTCGTCTAAAAAGTTTGCAATAGTTTCACGGATGGAGGTCGAGTGGTTTTCAAAACATGGTTATCGCCCTAACGCAGCGCACATTCGTCTTCAAGGCTTGCAGCGGTTCAAGGATGGAGAGCGGCTGTTTTCAAAATGTGGCTCTCGCTCAGCTTCGCGCACATTCGTTCTGAAAGTTGCCACAGTTTCAAAAATGGAAGGCGACTGGTTTTCAGTCATATATTTTCGCTTTAGCGCCGCGCGCATTTTCGTCGCAGAAGTTCGCAAAAGCTTCACGAATGGAGGGCAAGTCCTTTGCAAAATGTAGCTCTCGCCTTGGCGCCGCACACATTCATCTGGACAGTGTACCACATGTCAAGGGGGGTCGTACTGTTGAGGTCCCAGGAATGGTGTTCTGGCACGATTGAGGGTTGTCAGACCACACCGGTCACTTGATTCGCGGTGAAGTCCCACGAACGGCGTTCTGGCACGATTTACGATTGTCCGGACGCAGCAGTCAGTTTGATTCGCGGCGCTGAAACCCTAGGAATTGTGTTTGGCAAGATTGGTGATTCTCACACGGCTTTATTCCAATGGGGCACTTCACGCAATCAGAAGAAATTCTGGCATGGAACCTACGAAGAGGAAACTTGGGAGGGGGGGAATATTGCAACATCGTTGATGCATTCGGGGTTTGCACTGGCCCTCCTCCTCCTCCTCCTCGTCCTCGCCCCCTCTGCCTAATCCTCTGCCACCAGCCGCCACAGAACACGTTCGTCACCGGGCCAGCGCGTGCGCGCGAGGGGCGAGGGCCGGATGCGCGGAGGGCTCGCGCGCGCGCGGTCGCCAACCGCCCGCCCACATCCTAACAGCCTACAGGAGTGGGCCGCCCGCCCACATCCTAACAGCCTACAGGAGTGGGCGACCACGTGTGAGACTCACAGTCGTCGCGCTACCGGCAGGAATGCAGAACAAGGAGCGGGAGGGGCCTTCTGGCCACGGCCAGCCTCGCCCACGAATAGGTCCCCCGATTAGACCCGAGGAACGGCCAAAAAACCAAAGCCCCTCTTGAGTCCAAGGTGGTCCTTGTCTCAGCGTCATTGCTGTACCCCTGCAGGTCAGATTCGAGCCAGCCGGGGTCAAGAATTCGAGCCCAGACCTCCGACGATGAGATCTGTTCGATCCTGGCGTCTTCCTCCGATTTCGGCCTCTTGGGCCCATCATTGGGCCTCGGGACGGGACTGTCGAACAGGGATCCGGGACGAACCCCCCCCCAGGGAAGCGGTCGAGACCACAAGGGCCGCGCATAGAGAGAAAATCATGCCGGCGGACATCCAGGAAGGCTGCCTGCAGCCAAGCGAGCTCCCCGCGGAAGCGGCCGGCCCCAGCGCCGAGCCGACCCGCAGGAGCGGGGCTCGCACGTGGTCGAAGACGCAGGGCACGTCGGGGCGCCGCAGCTCAGGCGCACGCCTTGCTCGTCCTCGGGGAAGCGAACCAAAGTGAGACAAAACTCGATTGTGCTTCGGAGGTCCGTGCGGGCTTCGTGTGGAGCAGCGCGGGCGCCCTGGAGGCGCCTCCCGCGCGGCGCTGCCCCTGGCGCCGCCCCTGCGTGCCACGGAGGGGCGTCCAGCGCCGACCTATGCAGTGTTTCCGCCGTCGGTGCTCGTCCTGCGGTACAGGTAGACGTATCCGAGGTCCAGCGGGGGGGCCTCGGACTTGGCCACCTTCTGGTCGTCGAAGATGACCCAACCGCCGCCCTCGTCCCGCTTGGCGTGGCAGACGTAGTGCCCGTGGGAGGTGTTCCGCCCTATGTGCGAGATGAAGCCCACCAGCTCGTAATCCCCAGCCCCGTCCTTGAAGGAACCACGAAACACACAAACATAAACTTTCGGAGGTCCGCGCAGATATCTTGGATCGGCGCTGACCCCCCCTCCCTGGCGCCTGAGGCGGCGCCAGGGGGTCCCAGCGCAGATCCAAGAAATCTGCTACCGTGCATGGAAAAAGAACTTGAACCCTGCAGCGCAAGATGCCCCCCTGGACCCCCCAAATCGATGTTGACGTTGCGGCAATGTAGGAGGCTTGAGTGAACAGAAACAATCGAACCCCAAAACCATCATCCATACTGACATCAACATCGATGTCGTGGGCGGGTGGGGGTCAGAATCCCCCTTCCAACGTGTGCGGATTTGAAGATATTGTCCGCCTACTGGGGGACATCTGGAAGTTTATGTTTACGTCGTTGTTTGTTGGATGCGGCCTGGGGGTCTGAAGTGAATGGACTCCGAGAAAATCGATCAAGAGGGAGGATGACGGCAAATTCGCTCAAAATCGGTCCGTCTGGCATAGTTTCACCCTTGGTCCTGGGGCCCGAAAACGCCCCCAGAGGCCGAAAAGTGCAGAAAAACGTCACGAACCACGCGCCTCGAACCTGTCCCTCCCCTTCCTGCTAGCCGGAATCAATGCTGGGCCGCCTCAGACCCCCAGCCGGCTTCTACTGGAGGACCTCCAAAAGTTTTATGTACACGTTTGTTGTTTTTTGGGGGGACGCACAGAGACATACTGATACTACATGTCCTCCTTGGAGGCGCGCGTCCGACCCGAACATATAGTATACCCATCTTGTAGTATGTCGTTTCCCGAGCGGCATGGCCAGAAAGCGCCCGCCACGACGCATATGCTATAAGATTTCTCGGTGCGCGCGTCGCCCCTGGGGGGGCAACGCACATATAGTAAAAGTATGTTGGGGCGGCGCCGATTTTTGTGTCCTTCAAGTCCTCGAGCGCCTGTGCCTGGGGCGCCGCTCCCCCCGCGGGCGCCCCGCCGCCCCCTCCCCCGAGGGCGGCCACCGCCCCGTCCAGGTCGTCCGCGTGGGAGAGGATCGGCGACACCGAGGGGTGTGGTCTGCAGAGGGTTCGAGGCGGAGCTCAACTACGGTCGGACTTGATTGGACAGGACGCGCGAGAGGACACAAGGCCCTTCCGAGGGCCACATCGCCATAGGAGTCTAGGAGGCACGGGTCGCGAGACACAGGACACAAGGGTACCCTTGAATTGGCAGGGTCGACCTACTGATCTGGGCCGACTGTACAGAACTGATTTACCCCAAAATTGGAATGCGCGTCGAATCTACGAACCCTACCAAGAACGGTGCTAGTATTACGAACATTGTACACATGTCTTACAGATTCGACAGAGAATCAAATTTTGGAAAATCAAGTATCCGCCACCGTGTCTCTGGCACGAGCTGGAGAGCCCCAAGGCGCATGCAACACTCAGAGGTGGAGGCTGCGCTGCTGCTGTAGCCAGCATTGTGATTCTTAGGGGCCCGCACCAGCCGGCTCCCAGACAGTCCTGGGGCGTCCTAGGGGTTCCCGGGCTGCCTCCCGTGAGTTCTGGGATGCTTCCTGCAGGGCCTCCGGACGCTGTGCCCGTCCACCACGGTCCAAGCGAACCCCGACTTGCCGAAGGGTAGCTCAAATACGTTGTCAATAGCCTCGACACGGCCCCAGACACCTCCAAGACGGCCCCAGAGGCCTCCAACAGCACCCCCCGAGGGCCCCCCACGAGACGCCCCCGAGAGGCCCCCGAGAGACCCTGAGAGCCCCCCAAGAGGCCCTCCAAGAGGCTCCCAAGACGCCGACCAGGTGCTCCCAAGGAGACCCTGAGAGCGCTCTGTAGAGACGCGAAGAAGCGTCCCTAAGAACTCTGATCCACAACCCAGGCACGATGGCGGGATGGGCCGAAGGCCACCAGATGTAGTCGATCTCCTACTCAAGATTTGCCGAGGGTGTGGATTGCAACGCGTACCCTGGGGGGCGGGCGACGAGAACCTCGACTGAGTTCTCCGCCGCGCCCCGAGGCACGACGATGGCAACATTTTGGTGTCCGTTCCATGGGAGCCTGCGTGGCCCCTGGCACTGTCCAATTTGGGCCTGATTTGGACCGGATCTGGAACAAATTTGGACCGGATTTGGACCAGACTTGGACTGGATTCGTGGGGGCTGCGTAGGAGAACGAGGAGGGGGAGGGGGAACAGGAGGAGAGGGGAGGAGCAGGAGGATGGGCCAAATGCGGTCCCCACGCCGTCCACATGCAGGAAAAGCTGATTCCAATGTCGCCGCCCAAGGCTCCCATGAACAGACATCGAACGACATGGTGCCCCCCAAGCCCCAACGGCGCAGATCGCAAGAAGCCCTCCCCGGCGCAGCCACGCCCTTGGGCAGCCGCCGAGAAGAGCCAGTCGGCCGCCCGCTCGACGCTGCCGCCGCACGACTTCAGCGCCGCGGCCGCGTGCGCCTCCGAGAAGCCTGAGGGGCAGCGAGAGGGGGGACCAACTAGGGAGCCCACAAAGGACGTACACCCTGCGAAATGCTTAAGAAATCATGGGTTCAGAAATTCATAGTCTCAGAACTTGAATAAAAACCCAAAATTTCCATTCAAATCTTAGGATTTACATTGAAACGTTAAGAATAATCGAGACTCTGGGCGAAAACTTAGGTTTTCTTAAGCATCGCCTAAGGTGTACGCGCCCAGCTATGTACATGAACACGGCCCCTCGACTCAAGACCCGCGAGACTGGCCGCGTGATACGAATAGTCGCGCAATGCGGAGTCTCGAAAACAGCGTGGACTCATGTACGCGTACGTCCTTCTTTCGCTCCTGACCAACCAGCTCGGGGGGGGAAGCACCGACCTGGAACCGTTCCGTGGCTCGAGGCCTCCGGACGCTGTCGCTGGTTCCGAGAGCAGTCTCCGGCCTCGGGCTGCTCTCTCCAGCGGCTGCGCCTGGCCGAGAGCACTCCTGGGGGTGCGCGGAGCGTCCCGAACTGCCGCCGGAGGCCCGAGCCATGGCCCGAAAACCACCGGGGACCGCCTCGGGGGTGAGACATCGCTCCGGCATCGGCGATGCCTCGCCGATAGATCGGCGGTAAGGCCCCCGATGGCAGCTCCACGCGCTGCTGGGCGGGGTGGGGCCATCGCGCCCCCGTTGGCGAGGCATGGGCGATTGGGGGTCGATGCGTTCCCCCCCTGAGCAGATCCCCCCCAGACATCCGGCGTCTCGACTTTTCCGAGACACGGGCACCCGACCTCTGGACCACTTCCCCAGGACTGGTTGTTCATGCCGAGTCGTTTTCTGACGGTCCTGCAGCTCAGTAAGGGCCCCTAGAGGCCGAGAACCAAAAAAAAATGAATCGGCCTTGAATTTCTCGAGGCGCGCAGTGTCTGGGCCCCTAACTAGAGGGGCCCAAGATAGGGATTGAGGCAGATGGGGTCGGAGGATCGCGCCACATCGCTGGTGCATTGGCGACGCATCGGCGATGCACCGGCGATGCACTGGCGCCGTCGGCGTGTAGAAATTCGGGCTCCACGTCGAGCTGCATCGCCGATGCATCGGCGTGGCGGCGCGATCCTCCGACCCCATCGACTCGGACCCCATCAGGGAAGCCTAGACCAACGCTGTCTGCACCCTCCCTGTCTGTACCCTCCCCTGACTCGGGCCCCATCAGGGAAGCCTAGACCAACGCAACCCGCTGTCTGGACCCTCCCTGTAATCCGACGTCGCGCAAAACTACGACCGGAGCCCTGTAGACCCCATCTTTCTGTGGCAATTTTCGAGCCGGATCCATCCGTGATGGCCCCCCAGGCCCGAAGCAAGACACCATCGCACGTCGTGGAAAAAAGTCCGCCGACCCTGTCGGCGTGTGAGAGAGAGGCTCGTCCGTTCCAGTCGTCCTCTTCGCCGCTCGTCAGTCGTCGTCCCTGCTGGCTCAATTTTCCCTGCGGCCCCCACTTCCTTGGGCCCGTCGCCGCTCCCCCCTCGGGCCCTCTTCCCCAAGCGCGCCAGCCAAAGCGAAACTGAGTGCCATCACGATTCGATCGAAAGGAAGCCCCCTCCCTCTGAGCCCTCCCCCGTCGTGGAAGGAGGTCCCGCAGGAGACACGCCTCGGTCCCGGGGGGAGACACGCCTCGGTCCCCAGGGGGCGGTCGCCACCCGAAGGCGCACTCCTGCCGGGGGGGGGTCGGGGCCCCAGAGAAGCCCCAGGACGGGCCAAAGAGTGCCCGAGGAGGCTCCCAAAGATGGTCCAGGAGGGCCCCGCATCGCCGAACGAGCTGTCCGAGACGCCTTCACGGCCGGGCCATGAAGCCTGCAAAACGCCCCAAGAGGCCTCCAGGAGCACTCCCAAGAAAGAGGCAACAATCCTGAATTTCCCTTGGGTTCTTGAAAGATGTTGGCGTTATCGCCTCTTCCACTTCCCGACGCTCCAAGACGGCCCAAGAGGCCCCCAAGATCGCCCCAATACGGCCCAAAGTCGACTCCAAGACAGGCCAAGAGGCACCCAAGAAGGCCCCAAGAGGGTGCCTAGACGGGGGACCCGAACGGACAGCTCGAGTTCTCGCCCCCGAGAAGCTCTCACTAGGCCCCAAGAGGCCTCGAAGACGCCCCCAAGAAACCCCCAGGAAGCCCGTGGAGGTACCCGAGAGGCTCCAAAAAGGCCCGCCAAGAGTCTCGCAAAACGCCCCCAGACTGCCCACCAGATGCCCCCGAAAGCGTTCCGAAGAGACCCCGACAAAAATCCCCTCGTCCCCCTGCTCCTCCTCACCCTCCTGCTCCTGTTCCTCCGCCTCGTCTTCATCGTCCTCCACCTGCTCGTTGCCCTTCTCGACCTCCTTCTGCCCCAACTCCCCCTCCTCATCATCTTCCGCATTATCTTCCTTATTATCCCCCTCCTGCTCCTCCTCCTCCTCTCCTCCCCCCCCCTCCTCCTCCTCCTCCTCCTCCTCCTCCTCCTCCTCCTCCTCCTCCTCCTCCTCCTCCTCCTCCTCCTCCTCCTCCTCCTCCTCCTCCTCCTCCTCCTCCTCCTCCTCCTCCTCCTCCTCCTCCTCCTCCTCTCCTCCTCCTCCTCCTCCTCCTCCTCCTCCTCCTCCTCCTCCTCCTCGCTCCCCTCCCCTCCTCCTCCCCTCCTCCTCCTCCTCTCTCCTCCTCCTCCTCCTCCTCCTCCTCCTCCTCCTCCTCTCTCCTCCTCCTCCTCCTCCCTCCTCCCTCCTCCTCCTCCTCCTCCTCCTCTCCATCATCATCATCATCATCATCATCATCATCATCATCATCATCATCATCATCATCATCATCATCATCATCATCATCATCATCATCATCATCATCATCATCATCATCATCATCATCATCATCATCATCATCATCATCATCATCATAATCATCATCATCATCATCATCATCATCATCATCATCATCCTTCTGATCATCCTCCTCATCATGCTGCCCCCCCTTCCCTGCGTGCTCTTCCCCTGGTGCTCCGCAACCTTACCTCGACCTCGCCCTCCTGAGTGCTTAGAAATGAAGGGCTCAAAGCTGCAAGTTTGACCAAGAAACGTTTTAAAACATATATTTGGAAGGAAACTTTGAAATGTTGGAAGTGTGAAACTTTGAAAATGAGGACAGGAATATTGTAAGTTTGAAAGTTTGGAAGGCAAGTGGAGCGGGCGAGCGGGTGCGGCGCCTGCGACCCACTCGCGAATCATCGCCTCGCGACCCGCCCGCGTCTCATCTTCCTTGCCATCCACTCGTCTTGCAAGGCGCCCACTCGCGACCCACCTGCTTCGCGAGCGGCCCGCGACACATCGGCCTTGCCACCCACTCGTCTTGCAGGGCGCCCGAAAGCTCGTGGGCGGCCTACAGGGAGGGAGGGGGAGGGACGATAGGGTTCCGAGAGGTTTCCGGGTCAACCGCAGAGCTGCTCTCTGGACAGCTGGAGGGAGCTTCTTGGGCTCTGTCGAAACCTTCTTGGAGCTCTCTTGGGACTCTCTTGGGTCCCTCGCGGCTGCTTGGGGATCCACGATGGCCCCGAAAGGTCTCCAAGGCGCTCCAGGAGCGCAAAGTCTGCACTTCTCTAACCACGGCAACTCGCCAGTGCATCTTTTCTGTAAGGGCTCGTGGCGATACGCGGAGCGTCAAGACTTGGTCGTGCACTCGTCACATGGGCATGCCAGGAGGTTGACAAAAACACATCTCGTTACCTGGCAACGCTTGGGGGGAGAAACGATACTAGCGCATTCTACTCTCGCTGCGTGGAGACGCAGCGGGGCGGAAAATAAACGAATGCACGTTCATTGCTACGTGGCCCAGTCTGGGGGCGGAAAAAATGATATTCCACTTTACTCGTTCCATTTCTGTGAATTGAGCACTCCTTGCGGCCATGCTTGGTTAGTAAATGCACTGGTCCACTGTGTTTTGACCACAACGAAACCAGCCAAGCAGTGTTAACAAATCCTCCAATTCGCAGTCATCATACGGCGCGGCGGAAAGTAAACGAATGGACTCTCATCGTCACGTGGCCAGGTTAAGGGGTGGAAGCCACGCTATTCCACTTTGATTATCACCTTCTGCCCACTCAAGCACTGCTTGCGACAATACGTAGTTAATGAGTCCTCTGAACTGCGTGCTCCAGCTTACCCCGACGACCCGACGATGTAACACATGCAAAACGAAAAGCAGCAAACCATGTCTCAAACGAAATCGTGAACACGCAGATTCCCTTATAGAATTGCTCCCTGCTGGGCCCTGAGCTGCGCGGGCTTTCAGGGCGGACCTCTGATCGCTTAGCACGACCTGCCAGAGGATTGGGAGGAGGCGGAATAAGGGGAGGCGGTAGAGGAGCACGGGGAAGAGGAAAGAGGAGGAGGGGGAGGAAGGGGCCTGGTAGGAGCAGGGTGCCGGACGCATCCGCGTCACAGTCAGACACACATATATGTTTCCATTGCTCTCGGGACAACCCTTAACGCCACGGCTAGACGCGCTTCGAAATTGTCTTGTGATGTGCGCCGGCGCCGTCCCACTGAGGGCACGCTGGGTCGACGTTTCTCCTCCCTCCTCCTTCTCCTCCTCCTCCTCCTCCTCCATGTCCTCCCTTGCCCCCCCCGCACACCAGGGAGGCATGAAAAACACAGTGGGAAATTGTTGTCGATCTTTCCACGGTGCCCCCGGGTCCCCAGAAAACCATGTTTGACAAATTGCGAGCGTTTCCTGCTTCAAAAAACACGAAGAAACCTTGATATTAGCGATGCTCCACGTCACTCCTCCCTCCCTCCGATTCCTTGCACCCCAACCCTCCACAAAACGTCCCCACCCCCCACAAAAACAAATCTGACAAATTGCGAGCGTTTCCTGCTTCAAAGCACAACGAAAATGAGTGATTGAAGTAGCGAGGCCCCCCGCTATTCCTCCGCCCCCGCGATCTCTTGGCCACCCGGCCTCCGCAAAACGCCTCCTAAATGGAGAAAACTAATTAAAAAAATTCGCGAGTGTTTCCTGCTTCAGAATGGAAAGAAAATCTTCGGTATCGGCGAAGCCACCCATCGAACACCTCTCTTCCCGACACTTTGCACCTTGGCCATCGCAAAACTAATCTCAAACATGCGTGAAGGTTTCAAGTTTCAGTGGCCAAGAGGAAATACTGGTTGGCGTAATACAAAAAATCACATCGGCCAGGCGTGCCTTGATCACTTTCGAAGCGCGTCCAGCCGTGGCGACGAGGATCGTCTCGAGAGCAACGAAACCAAATATGTCTGTCTGACTGTGACACGAATGCGCCCGACACCGCTCCTACCTCACCCCGTTGCTTCTGCCCCCTTCCTCCTCCTCCTCCTCTTCCTCCTCCTCCTCCTCCTTCTCCTCCTCCTCCTCCTCCTCCTCCTCCTCCTCTCCTCCTCATCCACATCATCATCATCATCATCATCATCATCATCATCATCATCATCATCATCATCATCATCATCATCAGCATCAGCATCATCATCATCATCAGCAGCAGCAGCAGCAGCGGCAGCATCAGCAGCAGCAGCAGCATCATCATCATCATCATCATCATCATCATCATCATCATCATCATCATAATCAGAATCATCATCATCACCCTCTTACTCGCCCTACTCTGCCTCCTCCTCCTCCTCCTCATCATCATCATCATAATCATCATCATCGTCATCAGCATCATCATCAGCATCATCATCAATTATAATCGTCCTGTCCTATGGCTATGACCAAGGCTATGGCGATAATGCGGGCGCGGTCCCGCTGTTGCACTTTTGTGGCTTCCGCATGTCATGTTTGAAAGTTTAAACTGTCTCGAACTTTCAAACTTTCAAGCCTTCAAACTTTCAAATGTTGAGCATGTGCTTGTGCAAGGTTTGAACATGCAGTCAAACTTTGAACGTTTGAAAGGTTGGAAGTTTGAAAAATTCAAAAAGTTGCAAGTTTGAAAGATTGAACATGCTTAAGAATGCTACACCTTGCAGTTAAAGAACTTTGAAAGTTCGAACTATCAAACGTGACACCCTAAGCGAAAGCAAACTTTCAAAAATTGGGAAATACCAAACTTTCAAAAATTCAAACATGTAAACCTGGAATTTGACTCCCTCGTCCTCCTTCTCCCCTCCTCCTGCGCCTCCTCCTTCCCCTCCTCCGCGTTCTCCTTCTTCTCCTGCCCCTCCGACTCCCATTCTCCCGGTCCTCCTACTGCTCCTTCCCCCCGTCCTCCTCCTGCCCCTGCTCCTGCTCCTGCTCCTCCTCCTCCTTCTCCTCGTCGTCCTCGTCGTCGTCCTCCCCTTCCTCCTCCTCCTCGCCATCCTTCAGGCTCCTCCTCCTCCTTCTCCTCGTCGTCCTCGTCGTCGTCCTCCCCTTCCTCCTCCTCCTCGCCATCTTCAGGGTCGGCGGGACCCGCCGCAAGGCCTTCACAATCCAACGCCAGGATCTCGGGGCTTCATGTTGCCCCGAGCGCCCATCGACGACAGCATCGCCACCGCCTCCGGATCGGGCGCCGCGCCGCCGCCGCCGCCCGGGCCGCCGGCCCCGCCCTCGGGCAGCGGGCTGTTGACGTCTGGGTCCTCCTGGTGCTCGAAGTACCAGGAGACGGCAACCTCTTTAAGAGGAGCCCAGGGGGACACAAATAAATCGGCACAGCTTCCAGGATTCATTGTGTTCCATATTTCTGGGACGTTCCTCTGCCCCTCCATTTCCCATATCTTCCCATCCTCTCCAGGAAGTCAACGTTTGTTTGTGTTTGTGCCTACTTTGTCCTCCTGATCTCTCTGCCAGGCGCCAGGGCGCTCCCAAGCAAACACGGGCCCTGGGAACTATGTGGGGCGACCATGAGCTGGCGCTTCGTCCAAAGCGTTCCTGCAATGCTTCGGGGCCCCGAAAATGGGATACGCTCTTTAATCGCGATAACTCCTGTGACCAGCCCCGCCACCCCATCCCCCCCAAATCACACCACGACTCGTGCCGACGCCGCCTGCGAATTTGCCATCCTGAGGAAGCCCCAAACAGCGCTGGCGCGAATCGTGACGTAACAATCCCCCTCCACCCCCCCCTCCCCTCCCCGCCTCCGGTCAGGCCCGTTGCCGCCAGGGGATTCATCTCCAAGACCGCACCGTTTCTGGCTCCTGGCGAGCCTCGGGGCCCGCGTTCTGTGTGACCACGGCGGCGCGCTTCGCGGCGTTCTCCGGGATGCCCATCGAGATGCACGCAGCCACAACGGTCGCGTCCGGCTGCGGCCCCGCGGGGGCACCGCCAGGCCCGCCCTCGTCGGCCGGGAGCTCCACCTCTTGGCGGCTGCGCAAGGACACAAAGACATCGACACAGATTCCAGGATTCCCCCATAGTGGCTCCTATTGCCAAGGTGCTCCTCGTCCGCTCCATTGCCCACCTTCCCCCAGATATGCACGAGCATCTTATGTCTGTCGGTGGCGAACGCTCCCTCCAGAGAGGGGCAGGGTGAGGGGAGCGGCCTCTTCGGCACAAGAGCCTGGGAGGGCAGGGGGGCTCCCTGAGGGGCACCGCCCATCCTCCGAAGCTTCGAGGGTTTCCGAACGGCGCGCTGGCTTCCCTCGCGAGAGGAGCTGCACAACCAGGTCTGCAAGGGTCGCAGGTCCGCGCGGACTGCGCCAGACCCCCCTCACCTGCCGCGCGAAGCGCGACAGGAACGGCGCCGGATGTGCCGCCCGAAGGGTCCAGCGCCGACCCAGGGAAGCCACGAGGACCTCCCCAAGTCCAGATTCAGATGTTCGTGTGTGTGTATGTGTGTGTGGGCGTGCGTGTGCGTATGAATGTGCGTGTGTGCGTGTGTGCGTGTGTGCGTGTGTGCGTATGTGCGTGTATGCGTCCGTACGTGTGTGTGTGTGCGTGTGTGCGTGCGTGCGTGTGTGCGTGCGTGGGCGTGTGCGTCTGTGCGTGTGTGCGTGTGTGCGTGTGTGCGTGTGCGTACAGTCAACCCGTACAGAAAGGACGCGCGATAAGGATGCAGGCCCCTGGAAGCCCATTTCGACTTTTTCGAACGGGGCGCGGCCAACGAAAGTGGCCAAGGATGCACAGAGGAGGCAAGGATGCAAGGGCACCCTTGGGAAGGTTGCCCGTCCTTACTATGCGGGTTGACTGTATGTGCGTGTGTACGTCTGTGCGTGTGTGCGTGTGTGCGTGAGTGCTTGAGTGCGTGTGAGAATATGTGCTCGTGTGGGCGTGTGCGTCTGTGCGTGTGTGCGTGTGTGCGTATGTGCGTGTGTGCGCGTGTGCGTGTGTGCCTGCCTGCGTGTGTGCGTGTGCGCGTGTGCGCGTATGTGTGCGTGTGTGCGCGTGTGCGCGTGTGCGCGTGTGCGCGTGTGTGTGTGTGTGCGTGTGTGCCTGTGTTCATGTGTGCGTGTGCGCGTGTGTGCGTGTGCGCATGCGCGTGTGCGCGTGTGCGCGTGTGCGCGTGTGCGCGTGTGCGCGTGTGCGCGTGTGCGCGTGTGCGCGCGTGTGCGTGTGTGCGCGCGTGCGCGTGTGCGCGTGTGCGCGTGTGCGCGCGTGTGCTAATGCGCGTGTGCGCGCGTGCGCGTAATGCGCGTGTGTGCGCGCGTGCGCGTAAACCCGTGTGCGCATGTGCGCGTGCGCGCGTGTGCGCGTGCGCGCGTGTGCGCGTGAGTGCGCGCGCGTGCGCGTGTGCGCGTGTGCGTGTGCGTGCGCGTGTGCGTGCGCGTGCGCGTGCGTGTGCGCGTGCGTGTGCGCGCGCGTGTGCGTGTGCGCGCGCGTGTGCGTGTGCGTGTGCGCGTGCGTCTGCGCGTGCGTGTGCGTGTGTGTGTGTGTGCGTGCGTGTGCGTGTGCGCGTGCGCGCGCGTGTGCGCGTGTGCGTGTGCGTGTGCGTGTGCGTGTGCGTGTGCGCGTGCGCGTGCGTGTGCGCGTGCGTGTGCGTGTGCGCGCGCGTGCGCGTGTGCGAGTGCGTGTGCGTGTGCGTGTGTGTGTGTGCGTGTGTGTGATGGCTGTGTGTTTGTGGGCGTGCGCGTGTGAGTGTGCGTGCGCGTGCGTGTGCGTGCGTGCGTGTGCGTGTGCGCGCGCGTGTGCGCGTGCGTGTGCGTGTGCGCGTGCATGTGCGCGTGCGTGTGCGTGTGCGCGTGCGTGTTGGCGTTCGTGTGCATGTGCGTGTGCGTATGCGTGTGCGTGCGCGTGTGTGTGTGTGTGTGATGTGCGTGGGGTGCGTGGGGTGTGTGGGGTGTATGGTGTGTATGCGTGTGTATGCGTGTCTGTATTGGTTGCGTGTGCGTGTGTGTGTGTGTGTCTGCGTGTGTGTGTGCGTGTGTGTGTGTGTCTGTGGGTGTGTGCGTGTGTGTGGTGTGTGGGTGTGTGTTGCGTGTATGAGTGAGTGCGTGCGTATGTTTGCGTGTGCGTGTGTTTGTGGGCGTGCGTGTGTGTGTGTGCGTGGGTGCGTGCGTCTGTGTGTGCGCGTGTGTGCGTGCGTGCGTGCGTGCATGTGCGCGTGCGCGTGTGCATGTGTGCGCGTGTGCATGCGTGCGCGCGCGTGCGCGCGCGTGTGCGCGCGTGCGTGCGTGCGTGTTGGCGCGTGTGCGCGTGCGTGCGTGCGCGTGCGCGTGTATGCGTGTGTGCGTGCGTGCGGGTGTGCGTGTGTGCGTGTGTTCGTGTGCGCGTGCGCGCGGGTGCGCATGTGCGCGTGCGCGCGCGTGCGTGCGTGCGCGTGCGTGTGTGCGCGCGTGCGTGCGCGTGCGCTTGTTTGTGTGTGCGTCTGCGTTTGCGTGCTTGCGCGCGTGTCTGCGCGCGTCGCGCGTTTGCGCGCGCTCGCGCTTCAAGACCCTTCGCGACAGCAACCCACCCCCAAGTCGCGGCTGGGACGGACTACTGGGCGGGGAACTGCAGGACACAGGCACCGGGCTGCTAAAAGAACCTGCCCTCGCGACTGCCCTTTACTACTTTCTCATTCTCCACCCCCACAAGTACGGCACATGCGACGCACCACGGGACCTGTTCGAGCAGTGCCGGGAAATGGTGAGCCACGACGGCTACCACTACGACGGTGAACTTGGACTGGACCCCTCCAACTACGCGTGCACCGCCACCCCGGCACGCCTACTGCACGCCGCAGGACTGCAGCCCAGCTCCGACCCATAATTCGGCATCCCAGAAGACAGGCCACCCCTGGGCGGCGCCCGCAAAGCCGCTGGAGACGGCCCGTGGACCAGCCCCCAGTCGGCGCCATCAGGTCACCCCCCCGCGCCTGAAGTCAGACAACCTGCGAGTGCCAGCGCCGCCAGGACCAACCCAGCTTCGAGCACCTGACTGCCCTTGCTGGGCCCCGCGCGCGCCAAGACACGGCCACGGGCGGCCTGAGCTCGGAAATGTTAATGTAGATCCCGGTAATCGTCCACCTTGGTCATCGTCAATTCGTGAATCATCCTCACAATGGGCGACCGCCAGCAAGGATGATTGGCGTCGGCGAGATCCCGCGGAGTCTGCGTCATGGTCATCGTGCTTCTTCCCCCGACTTGAGCGTGCCGAGGAACCTCCCCGGGCTGTAACCCCCGGCCGCGGAGCTCCTCCAGGCTGAACTTGTCCGGCATCGGCACCCTGCAGTCCAATTTGCTCGGACACCACTTCTCGTCCAAGAAGTACCGCTGCAGCGACACCAGCAGATACCGCGGCATCGTCGCGAGGCGCGACGTCTTCGTGGCGGTGGACCCCCGGAAGGAGATGCCCTCCTCCAGAGCCGCGAAGCGGGCGAGGCAGGACTTGAGGCTGATGAGGGGCTTCGGCCCTTCCAGAGAAGCTAGAAATTACACACAAGCATGAACTTTCGGAGGTCCACGCGGACTTTTCGGGTCGGCTCTGGACCCCCTCACGCACCCCTTCCCCTGCGGGCGGAGCGCGCCAGGGACGGTAACGGCGACCTGCGTGGACCCAAAAAGAACTTCTTGCACACGCCGCTTGTGCTGATGATCGACCCTCGGCGTCGCTCCCGGTCTTCGGGATCTTGGCGTCCTTCTCTCCCGACTCGTCCGCGGCCGCCTTGTGTGCCAGGACCTCGGGGAGGTTGTCCGCGTCCTCGAGCTTCACGGGCAGCCCGAGCATGTTCTGGGACGTCCTGGTGTACTTCACCCTCCCAGAGCCGGCGGACTCCTGCAGGCGCTCCTGGGGCTGGCGGCGGGGGGGGTGCGGGCGGAGCGGGGAGGGTGAGCGAGGAAGGCGAAGGGGGAGGAGGGGAGGGGGCTGGGTGAAAAGGAGGGGTGGGCACAGGGGAGGGGACAGAGAGCGAGAAAGAGAAAGAACTCGGGAGAGAAGACGGAGCGGGGATAGGGGAGGGAAGCGGGAGAGGCCCCCTCTCCCGCCGTCCTCCTCCTCCTCCTCCTCCTCCTCCCTCCTCCTCCTCCTCCTCCTCCTCCTCCTCCTCCCTCCTCCTCCTCCTCCTCCTCCTCCTCCTCCTCCTCCTCCTCCCTCCTCCTCCTCCTCCTCCTCCTCCTCCTCCTCCCTCCTCCTCCTCCTCCTCCTCTCCTCCTCCTCCCTCCTCCTCCTCCTCTCCTCCTCCTCCTCCTCCCCTCCTCCTCCTCCTCCCGACGCTGACGCCGTGGAGGTCTCGACATTTGGCTGTCCCCCTTCCCCCTCCCCCCTTCCCCCTCCCCTGGGGCCCACAATCCCATTCTAAGGAGGGGGAGCCCGGGGGGGGAAGAGGGGGGGACGGGGTGCTCGAGCTGCCTGGCGCACCTCCGTGGCCCTCGGAGCTTCCAAATCCAGTCACCGCGGCCTCCAGTTATGTCGAAAACGCTGGGGAGGGGCTCAAGAAGGGCTCCAAGACTGCCCCCGTAAGAGCTCAAGACGGGCTCAAGAAGGGCTCACGAAGGGCTCCGAAATGGTCAAGACAGGCTCAAGAAGGGCTCATGATGTCCTCAAGATGGCTCAGAGGGGCTCCAACGCGCTGGAGAGGCTTCAAGAGCATCCAAGATTTACCCCAGGACGGCCCAGGAGGCTTAGAAGACGCTCAAACGAATATCTGAGAGGACCTGCATGACGGCGTCATGATGCCAGAATTATTGATTTCTTGTTTACAGTTTCCAAGGATGGGCGCATTCTCGCCACTTCGGTATTCTGAACCACGAGACGGCCCGAGAAGCCTCCCGGATTGGGCCAAGACGGCCGAAGAGGCCTACAAGACCAGGGATGGCCCAGGAGGACCCCAAGAGTGCCCCCAGGACAGCCCTAAAGGCCCTCCACGGGCTTAGGGCTTAAAGGGGGGGCCAGAGAGGCCCAAGAGGAGGAACTCGTAAGGACCCAGGGGAAACTGGCCTTCACAAGTTTCGCCAAAAATTCCAACAATTACACGGGTGGACGGCGGACCCAATTCAAAATGAGCATATCACCTTAGTGGCGCTTCCGTCTATTACACATATGGAGGGCGTTGTCTTTTCGAATGTGTGTCTTGCCTTGGCGCCGCGCGCATTCGTGTCAAAAACGTCAGACGGTGCCACGGATGGAGGGAGGTAGCTTTCAAACTATTACTCAAAATGTGACTCGCAGGTTTACTTTAGTCCTCATCCTCCTCTTCCTCCATTTCCTCCTCTTCATCCTCCTCCCCCTCTTGATCCTCATCCTGTCCCTCCTACTACCCCTATCCTCCTCGTCCTCATCCCGCGGTGAAGCGCGCGCTGGGGGGGGGAAAGAGTAGTAGTAGTAGTAGTAGTAGTAGTAATAATAGTAGTAGTAGTAGTAATAGTAGTAGTAGTAGTAGTAGTAGTAGTAGTAGTAGTAGTAGTAGTAGTAGTAGTAGTAGTAGTAGTAGTAGTAGTAGTAGTAGTAGTAGTAGTAGTAGTAGTAGTAGTAGTAGTAGTAGTAGTAGTAGTAGTAGTAGTAGTAGTAGTAGTAGTAGTAGTAGTAGTAGTAGTAGTAGTAGTAGTAGTAGTAGTAGTAGTAGTAGTAGTAGTAGTAGTAGTAGTAGTAGCAGTAGCAGTAGCAGTAGCAGTAGCAGTAGTAGCAGTAGCAGTAGCAGTAGCAGTAGCAGTAGTAGCAGTAGTAGTAGTAGTAGTAGTAGTAGGAGTAAGTAGGAGTAGTAGGAGTAGGAGTAGTAGAGTAGTAGTAGTAGTAGTAGTAGTAGTAGTAGTAGTAGTAGTAGTAGTAGTAGTAGTAGTAGTAGTAGTAGTAGTAGTAGTAGTAGTAGTAGTAGTAGTAGTAGTAGTAGTAGTAGTAGTAGTAGTAGTAGTAGTAGTAGTAGTAGTAGTAGTAGTAGTAGTAGTAGTAGTAGTAGTAGTAGTAGTAGTAGTAGTAGTAGTAGTAGTAGTAGTAGTAGTAGTAGTAGTAGTAGTAGTAGTAGTAGTAGTAGTAGTAGTAGTAGTAGTAGTAGTAGTAGTAGTAGTAGTAGTAGTAGTAGTAGTAGTAGTAGTAGTAGTAGTAGTAGTAGTAGTAGTAGTAGTAGTAGTAGGTAGTAGTAGTAGTAGTAGTAGTAGTAGTAGTAGTAGTAGTAGTAGTAGTAGTAGTAGTAGTAGTAGTAGTAGTAGTAGTAGTAGTAGTAGTAGTAGTAGTAGTAGTAGTAGTAGTAGTAGTAGTAGTAGTAGTAGTAGTAGTAGTAGTAGTAGTAGTAGTAGTAGTAGTAGTAGTAGTAGTAGTACACAGCTGTGGGACAATGCAAGTGCCCACATCTCAACCTCCATACACAGCGTGCGCACAGCTATGACATGCTCGTGCTGATACACGATTCGTCAGACCCCTACATCCACAATGGAGGAGAAGGAAGGGGAGTGGGAGAAGACAGCGACGACAACGACGACGACGACGACAATAACGACGACGACGACGACGACGACGACGACGACGACGACGACAACAATAACGACGACGACGACGACGACGACGACGACGACGACGACGACGACGACGACGACGACAATAACGACGACAACGACGACGACGACGACGACAATAACGACGACGACGACGACGACGACGACGACGACGACGCCGACGACGACGACGACGACGACAACGATGACGACGACGGCGGCTGCGGCGGCGGCGGCGACCGCGCCCGGGGCACTCCTCGACCGCGAACTCGAAGAGGCCCGCGAAGGGGCCGCCCGCCTCGCGGGGGGAGAGCGGCGCGGGGCGGCGGCATCTTGGGCGTGGCTTAATGGGGGGGTCACAAATGGGGGGGTCAGAAACGGTCCCCTTTCGTGCCCCTTTCGGGTCTTCCGGACCCCCAGGGGGCTCGTTTAGGTACCGTTTGGGTACCTTTTCGGACCACCCTCGCCACCCCCCCATTTATGACCCCTCCATTACGCAACGCCCAAGCATCGTCGCACCCCCGGCGCTCCGGAGAACGAGGGAGGGCTGCCGAGTACGCTATGGGCTGTCAGGGTACCTGAACTTCTGACGTTCCTACTTTTGCCTTGATCAGCAGAAGGAATTTCGAGCACCAAAAACAATACCCTACCGAAACTCTACGGTTTTCACGTGTCGGGCCCTGGGAGACACTCGTCCGACACTGTTTCGACACTGTTCCGGGTGCTCAAAATTATCTCTGGGATGTGGGATGTGGTCCTCAAGCACGATGGGCGCAACATAAACCCAAAGCCAGCTGTCAGGACGAGGCGACCACCAGAGCTCCTAGCTAGAGGGTGGCTGCCCCAGTCTACCAGTCCACTGCCCCGAGCAGCTCGCCCCTGCAGGAGAGGGTGTGATGCGAGGGCTCCTCTCGGAGGTCCCATCCTTCGGCCAGGAGAAAGGATGAGGAATGGGGAGGGGGGCGTTGAGGCTGAGGACGGTCCGCCCCCCGCGCAGGCAACTTCAAGTCGGGCCTGTCCCCCTGCAGGGGGACTGTCGACGAAAATTAAAAAAGGTACCCCAAAAATGCCCACAACAGATTGAAAAATAGCCAAAACAGAAATGATCCCCTGCCTATCTTCTTTACTCTGCCTGAGGATTCCTCCTGTGGAGGGACATGCCCAACTGTCGGGGAGAAATAAGACCCGGGTACGGGGGACTCGGAAATCCCCGACGAGGTCGTCAAAAAATGACGAGGCCGAGCCTGCATTTTGACGAGGCCTCCCGCTGCAGACATCCCACGAAACTCCTCCTCGTCAAAATCCGAGTCGCGGTCGTCAGAAAACGATGGCGAACCCGAGTCCCAGCAAACCCGGGTCTTGCGCTCCCCCGAAACTGAACTGTAACTGCTGCACGCCGGCGAAGGCGAGCGTGGGCGGCGCCCGAGGGGGGGAGGCGCCCCGTGTCGAGAGCGGCCCGCCCTCCGTCCGTGTGCCCGCCGGGTGCCTTGCCGCGGCGAGCGCGCGCGGCGCCCCGTGGCCGCGAGCCCCGGCTTGGAAGACGGCCCGCCCGCGGTGCGCGCAGCGATCTCCTTCTCATCCTGCCCTTCCCTCTTCTTCCTTCTCCCCCTTACTCCTGCTCCTCCCACTCCCCAGTCCGACTCCCTTCCCCTCCCTTCGCCCGCCCGCCCGCCCGAGACTTGGAGCTGCAAGATCCAAGGCGGCCAGCGGGTCTCTGGAGGGGCCCTGGGACACACAAAGAGATACACACACAAACACAACAGGATTCCCCCTGTTTTGCCACATTTGTTGGATGTTCGCCTTCCCCCCCACTTCCCAGATGTTTGCACATTTTCCTGGGAATCGACGATGAATTGTGTCTGTGTGTTTTTCCCTTCCTGAGTCTCGGGCGAAAGGCCAAGGCCGCCCCAAGGACATATCAGGTGGTGCGACAAAGAGGACTGGCTCATAGATAGGGGAGAGGGATGGAAGGAGGAGCCGGACCAAGCATGGGGAGGAGGAGGAAGAGGAGGGAAGCTCCCTCCTCCTCCTCCTCCTCCTCCTCCTCCTCCTCCTCCTCCTCCTCCTCCTCATCCTGCCCCATCCTTCTTTCCCTCCACCTCCTCCTCCCTCCCTCTCCTGGGGTTCTTGGATGGGAGGCCGACTTGCCCTTCTGAACTCTGTCCTCACACTGTGAAACAGGGATAATGCCCTTTTCGGACTACTGCGCTGATGCGCGCGCGCGCGCGAAGCCCCTCGGCTAACAAAACCTCCCCCTCCCCCCCCTTCGGGCGTTGGCAGAACTGGGTTTAGTGGGACCTGGTTTAGTGCGGTGTACTGGAGGTCTCCCCCCCGCCCCGTTCCACTAACCGGAACTGCCGTCACCCGAAAAAACACTAGCTACGGCAAACCTGGGGTCCTGGCTATACCCCCAGTTCGGCCCAATTTCGGGGCTCCGGGGCCCTAATTACCATTGACCGGGTCCCCTTACCTGGGGTCCTGGCTAAAACAGGGCTAGGATCAGGATAAATCGCTCCACAGCGTTCCGGAGCGCTCTCAGAGCGTTCCGGGACGCTCTGGAGCGGCCGCGGCGCCTCCTCCAAACCCGCCGATTCTCAGAGATTTCGAGTTATCCCGATCCGATTTTGTCCCGATCTTCGCGTCGTTTGACTGGCTATACCCGACCCCTGCCCTCCCCCCCTCCAGCCCGGCCCCGAGCCTCTAGCCGGCCGCCGAGCGCGGTGCGCTCCGCGCGGGAGAGCTGCTCGAGGTAGTACTGCAGGAACTCCGCGGCGTCCTGCTGCCGGCCCGAGGAGAACTCCGGGTGGTTCCTTGGAGGGACGGGCGACGACGAGGACGACGACGACGACGACGAGGACGAGGACGACGACGACGAGGACGAGGACGAGGACGACGACGACGACAACGAGGACGACGAGGACGACGACGACGACGACGACGACGACGACGACGACGACGACGACGACGACGACGACGACGACGACGACGGGGAGGGGAAGGGGAAGTGGGAGGGGGAGGGGGAAGGGGGGGAAGAGGGGGGGGAAGGGAGGGAGGGGGAGGACGAGGCCGGCGGAGGCGGGGGCCCTCTCGGGCGGCCGCCGAAGGCTGGCGCGGAGGGGCCGCGCCCCCGGGGGGCTCCTGCCGATCAGCGACCGGAACATCTGGGGCGCGACGAGGAACCTCGGCCGGGGCCCGGTCTGGCGCTGCTCGCGCGCGGGCGGCCGTGGCCGGGCCCGCCGCCCCCCCCCTTCGAAGCAGGCACAAGTCGCCGCGCCGCAAGCATCCAGCGGCTCCGCGGATCGAGGGCGGGCCGTTCTCGGCACGGGGTTCTCCCCTCGGCGCCGTCCACGCTCGCCTTCGCCGACATTCGACGAGCGCGCTCCACTGCTCGCCAAGTCACTGCTCGCAAATGGCCCGGCTCCGCCGCGGGGGATCTGCGAGGAATGACATCAGAGCAGACATGTGTTTTTTCGGACGTCTGCGAGTGGGCACTTTGCGAGCAGTGGAACGCGCCCGGTGAGCCAAGGAAGATCTTTCGCTCTTCTCGGCCTCCGTTGGCAAGTACCGGGCCTCGGGGCCGTCCAAAAACAGCTCGGGATGAAGAACCCGTCCCCGAAACATCGAGACACGCCGGATGTCTGGGGCCCGTGACCGGCCCCGCCCCCCAGGCCTTCGAAACGTCACGATTCGTGCCGGCGCCGTCTGCTTGGGGGCCTCGTGGGGCCTGGTGAAATCCTCCTGGGGCCTCTTTGGCCGTCTTAGGGGACTCTTGGCCCGTGTGACGCCCATGGAGGCCGCCTTGGAGGCTCCCTTGGGCAGCGTTGGTCCCCTCGTGGAGCGGTTCCCGGCCGGAGGAGGAGGAGGAGGAGGAGGGGGGAGGAGGAGGAGGAGGAGGGGGAGGAGGAGGGGGGAGGAGGAGGAGGAGGAGGAGGAGGAGGAGGAGGAGGAGGAGGAGGAGGGAGGAGGAGGAGGAGGAGGAGGAGGAGGAGGAGGAGGAGGAGAGGAGGAGGAGGAGGAGGAGGAGGAGGAGGAGGAGGAGGAGGAGGAGGAGGAGGAGGAGGAGGAGGAGGAGGAGGAGGAGGAGGAGGAGGAGGAGAGGAGGAGGGGGAGGAGGAGGAGGAGCAGGAGGACATCATTGGGTCCTCGTGGGCCGACTTCGCGCCCTCTCGGGGGCCTCTTGGGCCGTCTTGGAGCTTGGAAGCCGCTCGGAGGCCTCTTGGGCCGTCTTGGACGGTCGGAACAGGCGAGAACCTCAAAACCCCTCAAAAGCGAAGGGAGAATCAATGATTTTGGACTCCTCGGGCTAGATCCAGGAAGGCTCTTCGGAACCCTCTTGGGCCGTCTTGGGGGCTTCTTGGTACGTCCTGAGGCTGCTGCAGCAGCCTGATGAACCGTCTTGGGCCACCCTGGCGTCATCCTGGCTCGTCTTGGCCGTTTTGGGAAACCCGTCATGGAGGCCATGGGCCATTCATGGGCATTCCCAAACTTGGCTGCTCGTTCTGGGGACCTTCCTGCAGCCACTCGCTCCACTCGTGCGTCGAAGCTGCGTCGAACGTCAGTCGATTTGGGTCGACCCTGAGTCGAACCTGAGTCGAACCTGAGTCGAACCTGAGTCGAACTTGAGTCGAACTTGAGTCGAACTTGAGCCGAACTTGAGTCGAACTGGGGTCGAACAGATCCGTTAGGTGGGCTCCAGGAAGGTCCCCGAAACGAGCATCGAACCAAACGGTACCAGCGCGAATCGCGACGCGACTGGCCCCCTTAGCCACCCTCCCCCTCACCCCCTTTGGGCCACACCCGCCACAGCCATCGCGCTTCCCGAAGGAACGCGGAGCAGGGAACGCAGTGGCTCTTCTGGCCACGGCGAGCCTCGCCTTCGAGCAGGCTCCCCGACCTAATAAATCTAAGGACCGGCCCGAGAAGCGCCCCCCCGCCCAAAAAGGTCCTTATTTCACCGTCCCGGCCGCATCGCCCGGGAACCCAAAGACACGCTCCCCTGGGCCCGTGCTGCGCGGCGGGCGGGGCGGGCCGACGCCCGCGAGGGCTCCGGCGTCTGCCTGCCCGCGCCGCGAAGACGTGACAGATCGGGAAAGCACGCGGCCAGAACCCTGGAAGACTGCAGCCAGCACCTGACCAAGAAAATGGTTGCGCACGTGGGGCATAAGTCGAGACTTTCATGTCGTTGCATAATCCATGAAACGCCACGTTTGCATGCAGAGCGGTGGAGAGGGTGGGAGGGGCCATGCCACTCCTTGACAAAAATATTGCCCCGATGTGTGCCCGCTACGATCGCCGCGGCGACCTCCAAAACCGACCTGGAGGTTCGATTCGGGGTCGGATGTCACGCGACGAATAATTCCCGTATTTCCCAGATTTGAATCCCAGGCGGCTTGGGATGGACGGAGAGGCACTCAGCGCGAACTCGCCAAAGAGGGAGGAGGGAAGGCGAGGGGGAGGGACAAACTAGGTGCGCCCGGGTGATATCCGACATCCACCATTCCCGCCCATCCATTACGATTGCGCTGACTGTTCCTGCATCCCCCGACGCGTGCCCTAAACGACTTCTGAAGTTTTCAGAACGGATCCCATGGCGTCAATCCATATGCAGCGCGGTGCGCACCTGAGCAATCGAAGGGAGATCTAACGACAGCGGCTGCACTGAGACCCCTGGCAAATCGCCCCACCCCTTCTGACTACCTACCAAACCACCCCAACCCAACCCGAAGACCCGAATTTCGGGTTGGGGGGGGTACGAGCTTCATGTGTGTTTTCTCAACGTTCCCCGACCCCCCCCCAACTGGAAATGGAGGGCAAATTGGGGCCTTCGGGTTGGGTTGGGGTGGTTTGGTGGGCGGTGACCTTCCCTGTGGTCCACCTGGAATGAAGAATGACTCGGGCCCCGGTAACTCGCCCCCCTCTCCCCAGGCGACTTTCCGTGAGCCGGCGCGCGGAAGGAGAAAATCCAGAAATCCCATGTTTCCACATAATAATAATAAATAATAATAATAATAATAATAATAATAATAATAATAAGTAATAATAACAATAATAATAAATAAATAAAAATAAGAAATAATAATAATAATAATAATAATAATAATAGAGACAATCGCACGGGTTGTAGTCTCGGGGGTGGCGCCACGTAGAATAGCTTCGCTCGCACGTCTACTCTCGGCGCATTTCCGCAATAACGCAAACATCATGTGAGCACCCCTAAAAGCGAGCCACATGCGCCACGGCAACCGTGCACCACGCAACGCCTGCGAACACCGCAGCAACAATGTGCACAGCAGCCCGCGTGCACAACACTGCCCGCATGCACCACTGCGCGCGCGCGCACACCACACTGCATGCGCACTTGGGACGTCGTTATTGCTGGTGGCCCCACTCAGCCACCACAGATGCCCCTTCATCTCATTGACCCAACTTACCTTGACCACCCACAAAATGCCGAAGCAAACCCTGAAGCATTTAAGCCCCGTGCACATATATTACATCTATAAGCTCTGGCTTCTACTCGGCGCCCTTACCTACACGCAAGGCCCGCGACATTGGCATGGGAGTCGCGACCGCCACTGCCCCCTCCCCAATGGCGTGGCCATGGCAGTCCTATTCGCGGCGGGTGGCGCGGCAACGATCTTGCCGCGGGCGCGCTTAACCAAGGGTTCCCAGAAGGTCACCTTGAACCGCAGCTTCGACAACACGCGCGCCACTGCACCTCGTTGCGATTAGCATGTCGAGCTCTCATCGTTTTCCAAACGCCACCTGGATGGGCCGAAATTCTCTGCGCAACTGGGCAATCAAATGAGCAACCTCAGAATCTGGGCTTCCGCCATCGATCTGCAAAGCGCCCAGACCACTCATGTGCTTCACCCTGGACACCAGACGCCCATGCTCAACAGAAGTTAGAACCTCTGCGCAAGACATCGCCATGGCCTGCCTCGTCTTCTCCGCACTGGCCCCGACCAGGGACATCGCGAAATAAATATCAGCGGGCCCGAGCTGCAGTCCGCATCGCGAGACGGCCTCGCAAACAGCGCCCACGAGTTGCGCCGCCGTCTTGGGCGCTTCGCCAGCATCATTGGCAGCGGCAACAAAGGTTGCATCGCCAACGACGGACACTGACCAGGCCAGATCTCCCCGATCTATGTCGCAAGAGATGCGGCGCTCAACAGGGCGGGGTTAAAGCTGAAGCTCGCGCGCGTACACCCACTGGTCAATGCTGGGAATGGTCGGACTGAAGACAATGTCGAAGCTGTCGGCGGCCATGCTTGCGCGCGGCCTCGTCGCCAATATGGGGCGAACGAGACCCGTCGCATCGCGGGCCCCCCGCCACCCCTCCGCCCGCGCCCCTGCGGCAGGCTCTGGCAACTGCGGATCGTCAACGACCCCGTCAAGTTCCCCTTCGCGCCCCAGCGCCATGGAAGCCAAAGACAGGGCTTCAGGAATCTGCGCGCCACTCAAGGCCCGCCTCCCTTTTTTTCGGAGATCGCCAGAATGGCGTAAGCCTCTGGCGCCTGATGAGAACTCCAAGACGTCCCCAAGACGGCTCAAGACGGCCCCCCGATGAACGCAAAACGGCCCAAGAGGGCCCTCATACGGAATCAAGACAGCCCTAAAAGGCCGGCGACACACGACCTGGGAACGGTGCTGGAGGACCGAGGACGTTGTAAAAACAGCTACTTCTGCGGTATGAGAGAATGGGTTTCACGGGCGCGAGCCTTGGGAACATTTGGCGGCGCGTTTCGAAACGGGGGGGGCCCCCTCCCAACACTCGGCGCCGTCGATCAGAACCAGGGGGACTCCGCTCCCCCCTAACCCCCTCTCCTCACCAAAACCCCCCCCTTGGCGCTGGCGCCAGAGCTGGCGGCGGCCAGCAGCGCCGACGGCAGACGCAGCGACGATGACCAGAGGGCCCCGGGAGGGGGGGGGGGTCCAACCCCCCCCCCCACGGCGCCGGAGCTGGCGCAGGCGCCGGCGCTGGCGGCGGCAGGCAGCACCGACGGCGGGAACGCAGCGACGATGACCAGAGAGGGCCCAAGGGCCGCACAGGGGAAACGCAAATCGCAATGTACACCACCACAGCAACCACCACCACCACCAACCACCACACCACCACCACCACCACCACCACCACCGCCACAACCACCACCACCACCACCACCAGCCCACCACCACCACCGGAGGCGGGAAGACCCGAAGGCGGCACCACCACCACCACCACCACCACAAACCACCACACCACCACCAACACCACTACCACAGCCACCACCACCACCACCACCACAACCAGCACAACCCACCACCACCACAACCACCACCATCACCACAAACCACTACACCACGACGACCACCACCACCAAAAACACCACCACCACCACCACAACCCACCACACCCCACCACAACCGCCATCACCACCACCACAAACCACCACACCACATCCCACCCCCACCGCCACCACCACCACCACAACCCACCGCCACCACCACAAATCACCACACCACCACCACCACCAACCACCACCACCACCACCCACCACACACCACCACCACCACCACCAGCACCACCACCAGAAACATCACAGCCCACCACCACCATCACAAACCACCACGCTTCCCACCACCACCACTACCACCACCATCACAACTCACCACCACCACCACCACCACAAACCACCACGCAACCACAACCCCACAGCCACCACCACCACCACAACAACCCACCACCACCACCACACCCACAACAACCCACCACCACCACCACCACAACCACCACCACCACCACCCACTACACCGCCACCACCACTTCACCACCAGAACAACCTACCACCACCACCACCACCACCACCACCACTACCACAAACCACCGCACCACCACCACCGCCACCACCGCCACCACCGCCGCCACCACCACCACCACCACCACCACCTCGACAACCCACCACCACCACCACCACCACCAGCCCACCACCATCACCACAAACCACCACGACCACCACCACCACAACAACCCACCACAACCACAACCACCACCATCACCACAAACCACTACATCACCACGACCACCACCACCCCCACCAAAAACGCCACCACCACCACCACAACCCACCACACCCCATCACAATCACCACAACCACCATCACCACCACAAACCACCACACCACTACCACCACCATCACCACCACCACCACCGCCACCACCTCCACCACCACAACCCAACACCCACCACCACGACCATTTCATAGAGGCCCCAAGAGACGTCCAAGAGGCGCCCAGGAGGCTTCACAACGGCCCTTCAGAGGCCCCGGAAAGTCCTCCTCCGACCAGACCCCAAGAGGCATCCACTGGAACACTGACCCAAAACCAAGGCACGGTGGCGGAGCGTCGTCGTCGTCGTCGTCGCCTTCGTCGTCGTCGTCATCGTTGTCACCGTCGTCCTCGTCGTCGTCTTCATCGACGCTCCCCGCCGCCGCCGCCGCCAGCCGCCGCCGACGCCAGCGCTGGCCCGAGGAGAGGGAGAGAAGGAAAGTGGGGGGGGGGGGGGGGGGGGAACCCCGCCCCCCCCTCCGTCACGTCCCCCCCCCCCCCTCCGTCACCGGAAGGGGGGGGAGGGGGTTCGAACCCCCTCCCTCAATCCGGGGGGGGATTCCGGTTCCACCCCCCCGCCCTCCAAGCGCCCACAGAACGCGCCCTTCCTACGGTGTAAACATATGCGCGGCCGTTCCTGGACAGTCTCCTGGATAAACATAATTTTCACCACCACCCCCAGCCGCCCCCGCCCCACCCCACCGCTACCCACACACCTCGGGTTATCTGGAGCACATGTCGGCGTGTGTATGTCAATCGTGCGTTTGAAGATGCTGTGTTTTAGAGTCGAATACCTCAACGCATCGCATGCAGAATTATATGACTCCTCCTCTCCGCCAGGGAGAAGCGAAAGAGCTGGCCAGAAGCCCCGAGCGCAAAATCTGGAAGGTGCTCTGAAACCGCCCGGGCCTGCCACGAGCCTGGCGCCCAGTCCTGGGAGCCTCGTCGCGGCCTGGCTTCCCTGCCCATCCTGCCCCCCCCGCTCGTGCTGCTGCTCCTCAGCTCCTGCTCCGGGGGGCCTCCTGGGGATTGTTCGGGGCATCTTGGGCCCCCGAGAGCCGTCTCGGAACGTTTTGGGGCCCTTTGGCGGCCTACATGGGCTGTCCTGACTCCGTATGAGGGCCCTCTTGGGCCGCTTTGCGTTCATCGGGGGGCCTTCTTGAGCCGTCTTGGGGACGTCTTGGAGCTTTGAAGACGAGGCCCTCCGGGCGACCACAAACAACATAAACGGGGGATGACATGAAACCAGCGCGTCCTTATGGAAACGGGTCCAAGAACCTGGGGCAGTCCCCGGGACCAGCTCTTCGTCCTGAGTCGTTTTCCTGGGGCGACCTTCAGGACCCTGCGTTGAGAATCGCTTTCTGACAATCTTTGGGACCGTGGAGGGCCCCGACGAGCCGAAAACGTAGGAAAAAACAGGGCCCGTTTCCCTCAGGACCCGCTTGCTTCATGGGAAGGGCAAAAATTTATAAACGTAAACTGTCGGAGGTCCGGGCGGATTGCTCGGATCGGTGCTGGAGGTGCCGCCGGGTGGGGCCGGCGCCGATCCAACAACTCCGCGTGGACCTCCAGCTGTTTATTTCTGTCCAGTTCGGCTCATGGCGACTGGGGTGCGAGGCGGAACTCCCAGCCGGATGCGCACGGCGGGCCGAACGACGGCTCGAAAAGCCCAGGGCCATGCCCCCGACACCTTTGGCGGCCCAGGGGAGCCGCGGGTCGTCCTCGTCGTCGCCGTCCTTCCACGGGGGGGCGTACCTGCTTCCGAGCAGGCCGTTCGTCAGCTTCGCGACCTCGGAAGGGGGCAGCAAACAGAAACCATATTGTGAAAATCAAAAAACGGCACAAACATAAACTTTCGCAATTCGACCCGAGTTTCTTGGATCCGCGTTGGGCCTCCCGCGCGGAACGACGAAAGTTTGTGTGTTTGCCGATATTGTACCCCGAATGTAAGCGCAAGATGTGGGAAGTGGTCGCGACGATTGTTCCGCGGCCACAGCTGGAAAACCCCTCGCGTGGCGAGCGGAGCGCGCAAGGGACTGCGAAAGAGGTGCCGCTGGAAGGGTCCAGCGCCGATCAGGACATCTTCACGGACGTCCGAAACTCCGTGCTCGATAGTGACGACGACGACGACGACGATGATAATGATGATGATGATGATGATGATGACGAGATGATGATGATGATGATGATGATGATGATAATGATGATAATGATGATGATCATGATGATGATGATGATGATGAGTTCGTTTGTTAGCTCCCCTGAAATATCGTGACACCAGCAGCACGTCCTGCTGGCTAAAACTTGGAAGCGTTGGACATTATAGAACGAAAGCTCAAAATAGAGCGTGTCCGCCGCTTTGCCCAAGACATATCGAATCCACCAACATCCACTCGCGTATGTTTCTGACCTAGCCCTTTTCATCTAGTCATGGCTCACCGCGTCAAAAAGTTTAGCGCGTTGGCCTTCCCAGGTTCACAGGCCGAATATTGAAAACCCCTGCTGGTCGAGGCTTCGCATGCATTATGACGACCAACGCGCTAACAGCTCCAGCGCAGCACTTGCGAAGTCAAACGACACGGGTCATACACCGCCTGTCGGGCCACGTGGCCCGCGTACCTGTACGTGCGTTTTATCGGCGACCGCGTCCAAATCTGGGATGTTAAAGCACCTGTTAGACCGCGGGGGCCCCACCTCCCCATAATCCCCCCAGCCAGGGACCCCAAACCGGCAATTCGACCCCCCCCCGGGCCCGGCCGGACCCCGGACCGAACGCGCCACAGAGCTCCAGAACCCACCAGAAAAGGTACCAAACGCTCCCCGGACGGTCCCCGAGACCACGATTCGCCGACATAGCGCGCCCAGACGCCCACGATGACCTCCAGGCGGTCTCCGAAGCTGCCCAAACGCCCCAAAAAGCCCCTAAGATGCGCCACGTAGCGACCCCAGACGCCCACGATGACCTCCAGGCGGTATCCGAAGCTGGCAAGACACCCCAAACAGGCCCCTAAGATGCGCCCCGAGAGGGTCGCAAGAAACATAAGCGGCCCATGTCCTTCGAATACCAAGCATTACTCCGCATGCTCGCCTATTCGGCAATCACAACGTCCACAACAGAATAAGAAACCTTCAACATCGCTCCCAGACGGCCAAAGGGGCCCCAAAACAGGGTCGCTGATGGGTCCACCAACAGCCCACGAAGCCCCCAAGACAGCCCAAAAGGGCCTCCAGACGGCTCCAACACGGAGTCCACAAGGCACCTTTTCGAGCCTTCGGTTCCAAAGCGATCCCAGCTTGCTCCAAGAACACCCCAAAACGGCCTGCGGGACCTCCCAGAAAACCTCCGAAGCATCCAAGAAGCCACGAGGCAGTCCCCAAAAGGCCCCAAAACTACCTGCAAGACGACCCCGTCAGGCTTCGCACGAGATTTTCTTCACCATCCGTGTGGTCGCCGACCTGTATACCGAGCAAGGTGGCGGGATGCGCCGCGTCCCATTCGACAACGACTCGTCCAGCTTTTGGACCGCCGCATGCCGTCTATGGGCGCGGGTGTTGACAGGCATTTTCCCCAAATCGTCACTCCTCCTTCGAGGACCCTCCTCCGCCTCTCCCTCATCCTCCCCCTTTTCCTCCTCCTCCGCTTTCTCCTGTTTAGTACCATGTCATCATCCCCGCGTCTCATCATCAACACCATCACCACCAGCATCATCATCGCCAGCACCCGCACCATGACCACCGCCATCACCATCACCGACACCACGGATCACCATCACCACCGCCACGGAGCACTGCCTTGTCGCGTGTCTGGACACATGTGATGCAACCCGCAACCGCCAACCCCAGTCGGGGCCTCCAGACGTGTAACGTTCGTCCCGCGAACGGCCCCACATGCCCTCGGACTCGCCCGGGGATGGCCCCGAAGAGCCTCGAGCCCGCCCACCCAAATAAACAGGACAACACAAGTACGCCCCAGGACAGCAACACGACATTCCCAAGACGATCAAGGGGTCGGCGGATGTGGCGTAAGCCTATAGAATCCACGTCCGGAGGTGACGTGCTGAGCGGCAGCGTTTTCTGCGGAGGCGATAATGCAACGTATCCAATGTGTCCAATGATTGCATAATTGCAACGCATTGTATTGTGTTACATTATTATGTCTCCCCCCCTACCCCCCCCCCAGGGGCCACGCCACTTCCGTCGCCCGGACCCCTTCTGGGTTTCAAAAACATCAAAAACCTATGAGAAATCAACAAATTCCGCCTCTTGGGCCTCTTGGGGCCCCAAGAAAGTTTCAAGACGGCCCAAGATGGCCCCAAGACAGCCCAAGACGGCCTCAAGACGGCCCAAGATGGCCCCAAGAGGGCCCATGAGGCCCCCAAGAAAGTCCAAGAGGCCCCCAAGAAGACTCCCGAGAACGCCGCCGGAGGCCAAAATCTTCGATTCTCCCATAGTTTTCGGACAATTTCAACGTTTTCGCCTTTTTCGGCTCTCAGAAGGCCATGACGGCCCAAGCAGCCTTCAAAAAGGCCCCCAAACGGCCCAAGAGGCCTCCAAGGGGGCCCCAACACGGCCCAAGAGGGCCCCGAGAAGGCAAAAAAAAACCTCAAGACGGCCCCCAAAAAAAACGACACGGCCCCAGAGGACCCCAAGAGAGCCCCAAGGCGGCCGCGAGAGGCTTCCAAAGTGGCCTCCGAAGTGGCCAGACGGCGTAAGAGCGCCCAAAGACGGCCCAAGACGTCCCCAAGAAGCCCCAAGAGGCTCCAAAGAGGCCCCCCAGAGGCTCAAAAAAAAACCCAAGAAGCTTCCAAAAACCTCCCAAGAGGAGGCCCCACAACGACTGGACCGAACGTGTTCTGAAACACCCTGCAAAGTTTTTTGCGGAGGCGATAATGCAACGTACCCAATGTATCCAATGATTGCATAATTACCACATATTGCATTGCGCTACATTATTAATTATGTATCCCCCCCGAACCCCCCCCCCCTGGGAGCTCCGCCACAGGAGCAGACCAAAGTGCCCCCCCCCCCCTCCCGGGGCTCAATAACCTACCAAAACCTATAGAAAATCCATGATTTCGACTTCTTGGGCTTCTTGAAGGGCCAAGAGGGTGCCAAGATGGGCCCTGCGCGGACCAAGAGAGCCCCGAGACGGTCGAAGACGGCCCCAAGAGGGCCCACAAAGCCCCACTGACGGCCCAAGAGGGCCCCAAGAGCGCCCACAACTGCGCCTCCTGAAGCCAAAATCATTGATATCCTTTTGGTTTGGTGAGATTTTAGCGTTCTCGCCTTTGCGGCCCAGGCAGCTTCCCAACTCGCCCCTGAACAACCCAAGAAGCCCCCAAGAGGGCCCCAATACTGCCCAACAGAACACCAAAACGGCCCAAAGAGGCCCCCAAGACGGTCCAAGACGCCCCTATGACGGCCCAAGAAGACCCCAAAACGGCCCCAAGGCGGCCGCGAGAGGCCCCCAAGACGGCCTCCGAAGGAACGAAACGGCGCAAAAGCGCCCCAATACGGCCAAAGGCGCCCCCAAGAGGCCCCAAGAGGCACCCAAGAGGCCCAAGGGGCCCCAAAAAAACCCGAAGAGGCCTCCAAGATGTCCTCAAGAAACCTCCCAAAGGCTCCAAAGAAGCCCCCAAAAGGCCACACAGCGACTGGAGTGTAATGTCATTTTTCCACCCTGGGCGAACTGCGGCGCAGCGCCAGCCAGGTGGAAGTTGGTCACAGCGGCGCCCATGATTAGAGCCGGCGCTGGAAAGAAATATGGGGAGGGAGTATGAAAAGGAGTGAGGGGAGAGAGGCCCCAAAAAAGTCCCCAAAAGGCCCAAGGAAGCCCCCAGGAGGCCTTCAGGAGGCCCCCAAGAGGCCCCCAAGAGGCTCCGCGACGACGTGACTGTACATGCTCCGGACGTGCACCCCGCGAAGCGAGAGGAATCTGGGATGTTAAAGCACCTGTTAGGCTGCGGGGCTCCCATTTCGAGCGCCTGGCATGCTGTTCATCAGTCTCAGAAACTAGACGATGTAACCGAAGATGCTGTCGGGAAATGCCGTTTTGGGCAAAACGCAAACGGGGGGTCGAGGGTCGCTGAGTACGTGCTGCGCGGCGCCCGCGCGGCAGCATGCCCTTAGGGCTCAGCGCTCAGAGATGCGAGCTGGTCAGCCCAACGCGCGGCGGGGCGGCCCCTGCTCCGGAAACCACTCGGCTGCCAGTTGAGTGCCTTCTTCGCCCAACGGTCGTGACTCATCGCCTCCACGTGCATGCCCCACCGACGCCGGCGGGTTTGCAGCTCGGCGTCCCAAGGCGGCACTCCGCACTCATGCATCGCACGCTTCGCCTCCGGGGTAACCCGCTGCAACCATTCTACCCACGTCTCCAGTACTCCATCCGGCTCCCGCTTGCGGCTCCGCCCCAAGATCATGCGAATCATCTTCAGCTGGGTGGATCTCAGCCGCGCCATCCTCGACTCTGTCATCACCCAAGATACGCAACCGTATAAGATAGTTGGGGTGAGCACAGCGTGGAACAGCTTCAACCGCAAGGACAAAGGCACGGCCTTGTCGAGGAGCTCGCCACGGTACACGCCAAACTTCGACCACGCCTTCCGGATCCGGTGGGTGAGTTCCGAATCCGTCGAATGAATTCAAAACGTTGCTTCTGGGAGCTGCTCTTCCCCCTCAGCATGTGGCCAGCATCAGCAACAGGTGGTCTCTATAGCGAGCACAGTATTCAGGATGCCCTGGTCACTGCGGTCATTCCGGATGAAATGCGCACCAAGAGCTGTCGTAGAACGGTCTTCACAATTTTCGTAGTTCCATGCCACGGCGATTCAACGACTGACTGCGCGACAGATTGCATCACCTTTGGCCATAAACCCGACCCGCCCTGTTGCAAGGCGTCAAACAATTTGCTGTGAATGCGCTGGCCTGCCTGAGTAATGTGGGCCAGGATGAAGATGTGATCGCTGTACACCACGAGCGTGATGTACAGGGCGACGCACTCGTGGCACCAAGGACACCCATGGGCATCGCCCGTCCCCACAGAGACTATGCCAACATCCAAGCGTCCCGCTGGACACTCATCCCAAACCTGTTGCATAAGATCTTCCAGAATCACGATCTAAAACGCTGGGACCCATCTACACCTGTGAGGCAGCGGCATGTGACAGGCCTTGCGTTGGTCTCGCACTCGTCAAGCCTGTCGTGGTGACACACAGAACATACGTGACGGATGAACCATGTCGCGATAGCATCGTGCATTCCTCACTCCAGGAATGACTTCAGGATGTGATGGTGTTTGGTACGACCATGCGCCGTTGGACCGTCATTTGCAGCACACACACGTATCCCTATCGTGTTTGAAGACAACGCCGTACCAACATAGTCATAACAATATCAGCCCGGTTACACTGTAACTGGCTCAACACGCAAACTGCCACAAAAAATGCATGTCAATCTTGCCCAAAATACTCTGGAGCAGAGCGCCTTCGATTGACTTCGGAATAAAAGAACCGTGATAGTGCAAAACCAGTCACTCCAGTGCACGACGGGATCCTTGTCAAATAATGCAAGGTTAGCAACTGTGTCGCACGTCCGTCGGACTAGTCGACGCTTTTTACTCTGGGAGAAGAAAGCCTCCAAAGGCACATCGGAAATAAATAAAACACGTACCTTTGTAAGGCTTGTTTTTGCATGGAGTGCTTGATATGCAATGGAAAATACCGCCACACGGGCTGCCAGACGAAGCGCCGATTGAATCAGCGATGCAAAAAGCATCCCAATGTCGCAGGCCCAACGGGCCAGAGGCGAACTGAGATCTCTGGCAATTGGATCTGTGTAATTAATTCGCGCGCGGGGCCGCCCGCCCCTGGGGTCCCTGGACGAAAAATACCCCCCGCAACCCCCGGCAAGGTCCCAGCAAGGTCCTGGCAAGGTCCCAGCAAAGTTCTGGCAAAGTCCTGGCAGACTCGGATCAGAGACGGTGTTTTCCGGGGGGCGGTAATCACGGCCCAAGAGCGCTCCAAGACGCCCAAAACTGCCCCAAGACGGCCAAAGAGGCCCCAAAGAAGCTCCAAGAGCGCTTCAAGAAGAGCCCAAAGAGGACCAAATGAAGAAAAAATCCGGGATTCCTTGTGTATTGTGTCTTTTCGCGTTCTCGCGTTTTCGGGCTTCCGACGCTCTAAGATGGCCCCAGGGGCTCCCAAGACCGCCCCAAGACAGCCCGAGAGGCCCCCAAGAGGGCCCAAAGATAGCCTAAGAGGGCCCCCAAACGTCCAAAGATCGCTCAAGAGGGGCCCAGGAGGGGAAACACGAAGCACCAATTCGAGGCTTCCGCCCCAAGACGCCCTCAGGAGGCCCGAACAGGCCCCCAAGAGAGCCCAGGAGGCCACCTGGAGGCCCCCCGAGGCCTCCAGGAGGCCCAAAAAGAGGCCCCAAGAGGCCCCCAAACGGCCCCGATGAGGCCCCAAGAGGCCACGACCGTGCAGGCAAACGCTTGCGATGGCAGAAGACGGGCGGAATGAGCGAAGCGATTAAATAATAATGTACTTTATACGACTGGCCATATTGCTTCCAAAGGATGCACATAAGTAGCACCGTGGAGCATTACGTCTTTTCGAGACTGCTGCTCTGGCGGCGTAGCGTCCAACACGCATCTGCTGCACAAGTGGCGACATGAAAAATAAGCTAGACCAACCTGTGGACAGTCATCAATACCACGATTGGAAAGCGAATCTGCAATATGGGTCTTCCATATGGGTATGTGCTTTGCCTGGACAGAGTCGAATTGGGCCGTCGTAAAGGCCACGGCCTGGTGGTAATGAAAAGTACGGGAGTCCCAAATTCCCCACTCACCCAGAGTCTACCGCATCATCGATTCGTTATCCCTTTTAATCGCCAAGCGGTGAAAACCCATCCGAGTGCAGATTTCCGGTCCGATTATCATAGCATGACACTCAGCGGCAAAATTATCGCACACTCCACAGAGTCGGTATGGAAATTCCCATGTCCGCTCGCCGTGAGGGTCGACAACAATACATCCAAAGCCAGACGTTCAAAACGAATGTGCGCGGCGCTAAGGCGAGAGCCACATTTTGAACAGGATCTGCCCTCCACTCCATCCTTGAAGTTGTAGCAACGTTTAAGATGTATGTACGCGGCGCTACGGCGAGAGCCACATGTTTAGACGAACCGCCCTCAACCCTCGAAACGGCTGCCAGCGTTTAGAACAAATGTGCGCGGCGCTAAGGCGAGAGCTACGTGCTGAAAACAGCCCGCCCTCCATCCCTGAGGCTGCTGCAAACTTTCAAGGTGTATGTGCGCGGCGCTCCTCCAAGCTTCGGAACATACATTGTGAAGACGTCTCTGGTGAAACGTCCCGCCCGCCCTACCGACACGCCTGGGGGTGCGACAGAGAGGAGGTTTTCACAGAGAAGGCGGTTGAGGTGGAGAAGAAGAGGAGCATGACAAGGAGCAACAGAGGCATGTGCAGGAGGCTCGTCGTCGTCCACGTCCGCAGACAATGTGGCAGGGGGAGAGGGAGGAGACGAGGACGAGAACAACGAGGAAGACTGGGAGGAGAAGGAGGAGGAGGAGGAGGACGGGGTGGCGTTGGAGAATGATGATGATGACGATGATGACGACAATGATGATGACGATGATGATGATGATGATGATAATGATGATGATGACAGTGGTGATGGTAATGGTGATGGTGATGGTGATAATGATGATGGTGGTGATGATGATGACGATGCTGGTGGTGATTGTGATGATGAGAATGATGACGATGACGATGATGAAGAAGAGGATGATGAGGTTGATTGTGATGGCGACGGTGATGGTGATGGTGATGGTGACGGTGATGATGATGATGGTGGTGATGATGGTGATGATGATGGTGATGATGATGATCCTGATATTGATACAGATGAGGATGGCAATGACTATGACAACATCGCCACACTTGTCGCTCCCTTTGTTGTTCCCTCGAGGCCTGCGTGACGAGGTCGGTGGGGGCCTCCGCGGGTGCCGACCTGCGGATCGCCAGCTCCGCGTCGAAGTACCGGGCCTTGCTCTCCGGGAGCCCCAGCAGCAGCTGCATCGTGGAGTTCATGTAGCAGGAGTTGCCCAGGTTCTTCAGGCCCACGAGGCCGGGGCCTCGGGCGGGAGCTCCGCCCACGAGGGCCTCACTGTGCTACTCGCCCTCCTGCTCGTCCTCCTCCTCCTCCACCTCCTCCTCCTCCACCCCGTGGTCCTCCTCCTCCACCTCCTCCTCCTCCTCCTCCTCCTCCTCCTCCTCCTCCTTCTGGTCCTCTTCCCCCTCCTCCTCCGTTCCTTTCCCTTCTGAATAACTCCTCCCTATCGCACCCTGAGGCCGGTCGCAAGCGCGGGTCGGGCGTTTCGCCTGAGACTTCCTTACCAGTTATGCGCATGAAGCTAAGAAACTGACAGCAGCTTCACAGACGGAGGGCGGATGGTTTTCAGAATGTGGCTCTCGCCTTAAAACCGCGCACACCTTTACACATTGGAACAGTTCAACGGTTTGAGGGCGGGTCGTTTTCAAATGTGGCTCTCGCCTTAGCGCGGCGCACACACGTTGTAAAGCATTGCAAAAGATTGCGGATTGAGAACAGGTGGTTTTCAAAATGTGGCTCTCGCCTTGGCGCCGCGCACATTCGTTTAGAAACATGCAAAAACTTCACGGATTCAGGGCGGGTCGTTTTCACAATGTGGCTCTCGCTTTAAAACCGCGCGCAAGTTGAAAAAATCGCAAGAGCTTCACGGATTGAGGACGGTTCCTTTTCAAAACATGACTATCGCCTCGGCGCCGCGCACATTCGTTTCAAACATTTGCAAGAGTTTCGTGAAGTCTCATGGCTAACCAGAAATAGTGTTTTGAAACGATTCAGATATGTCAGGGCGCAACAGTTACCCTGATTCGCGGTGTTGAAGTCCCAGCATCGTTGTTCTGGCACGATTCAGGATCGTCAAGATGCAACAGTCAGGTTCACTCGTGGCGTTGAAGCCCTGAGGATGTTGTTCCGGCACACTTCAGGTTTTCTCCCAAAGGGACACTCCCCTCAGTGGAGATGAATCTCTGTAGAAGCCTGTGAAGAGGGAGCTTGGAGGGAGGGCGCATTCAAACATCGCGGAAGAGCCTTGGATTTACACTGGTCCTTTCCCTCCTCCTCCTCCTCCTCATCTTCCATCCTCATCCTCCTGCTCTTCCAAGCCTTATGATGTCCTCCTAGTTGTCCTCTTCCTGCAGCTGCTCATTCTCATATCTCCCTTCGTCACGAAGTTCATTCCTCTCTCTCTCTCTATCCCTCTTCATCCAGCTCCACCTCTTCATCCTTTGCCTCCAGCTCCTCCATCCTCCCATCATTCCAGCACACATGCTCCTCCTCCTCCTCTTCCGCCTCCTCATCCTTCTCGTCCTCATCCTCATCCTCATCCTCGTCCTACCCTCCCCTCTTCTAGCCCGGTTCCCATCAGGCCACGTGCACGCGGCATGTTCGTTCTGAGACCCAACTTGAAAAGGGCGATGGTCTCAGGAGCCAGGGCATGGTGACGGCTCTGGCGACACCGGTCCAGAGGGGGCGGCCATTCTCAGCAATCGAGGCCGCCACGGTCAAGGCGCGCAAGGCGCCTGGCCGCGGCCTCGGTGGCAACTCACGAGAGCCTCCTGCTGGCCCTTGCGAATCGACGCTAGTCGACACTAGATCGACGCTAATCGACTCTAAATCAGCACGTTCTCATTGATTATCAGATGCTATCAGATGCTAGCGCACGCTAATGCACTCTACAGACGAAATTGCGAGGACATACAGGACTCACATTATGTGCTACCGAAGCCGCGGCGCCGTGCTGCCGCGGTGGAAGACCGCCCAAAAAAAGACCAGCCTGGTCGCGAGTCCGCGGTGCGAATCCAGGACGCCGTCATGGGCCCAGACTCGCAGCACGACGTCGAGAAGCCGACGGGCGCTTGCTGCCGCACCCCGCGCAGCGCCCAGGGGAGAAGGCATGGGCACCTGGGCGCAGAAGAAGTCCAGGGGCGCGGGCAAGGCTACGGGCCAGCCACCGCGGTGACCAGCGTGCAGGCTGCCGCCCGATGCCCTGGGGCTTGAAGCGGCTCCGTGGCGCGCGACCACGAGGTGCAGCACTGGCAGGGCGACGGAGACCGGTGAAGGCTGGGGCTACCTGAACGAGCTCACTTACCCCCCCGGCTGGGTGAGCTGAGCCGCACAAGGAGGCCGCAATCACCAGCAACGGGCATGGCAACGTCTCCGGCTCACCCTCCTTGGGCGCCCTGGTCAGCCGCCGGAGCGTCGACGCGCCCACGGAGGGTGTCCCCAGGAGCGGCACGGCGGCTGGCGCGGCCGAGGTTGCCGGCCCGGGCCCAGGAGCAAGGCGAGCGTGTCGCCTTCGCCCGGCAGTATCGGGTGTGGTGAGGCCCAGGGGCCTCGACCCGTGCAGCGCACAGCACGTGCGCACAGCACGTGCGCGCAGCACGAGTGCTTGCGCGCAGCACGCGCGTCGGGTACCCCATGCGGGAGCCTTCGGGGCCCGGTGGGGAGGTGCGAAGGCGTGCCACGAGGCGAGCACGCCGATACGTCTTGCGTTGCGCAGTCCTACAGGTTCGGCGAGGCCAGCGTGCCGCCCTAGTTCTGCCGTTGTTGCTCGGATACGCGTCACACAGATGCATGCACGCGGCGCGTCACGCATGCAAGCTATGAGTTGGGCAGTGTGCGCGTGGAGTTCAGACCCCTGTGTCTGCATCCAGCTCCTGGGGTGACGAGTGCGAGAGTCGGCGGTCCATGCGACGCCGACGCTGTGAACGCCGAGCTGAAGAACAGTAGGCTCGGGGGTCAGGGACGTCTCAGGCCGCAGGCCGCGTCTGGGGGCTCGCGAATGAAGACGGAAACAAACCACAAGCCATGCTTGCACGTGGCAGGCCCTACTCCAGATTTCGTAATAAAAGGGAGGGGGTCTGGACCCTCCAAGACAAGCCAGTTCAGACCTCCCCCGTGGGAGAACCCTCCAAAACATCGTCCCCAGACCCCCCAGGCCCTCCAAGATAGCCTGGAAGAGACCCCCCCCCGAAATGAGACCCCCCCCCCCTTTGTTACGAAATCTGGAGCCCCTGAGTCGACGAGTGGCTGGATGGACATGTCCACGTCTGCCTGGTGCCCCGCTGGATGGATATGTCCACGTCTGCCTGGTGCCCCGCTGGTAACCGTCCGCGGGCACCTCGTCGGCGCCCCATGCGCTGGGCGGGTCCGGCGGGGTCTCGCCACATGCCCGCCCGCGGGCCGCCCGTGGGCGCCCTCCGTGCGCTGGGCGGGCCTCCCGCAAGCGCCACCGCGGTGGGGAGGAGGGCGCTGCGCGCGACCGTGCGACCGCGCCGTCGCCCTGAGTTGCTCCAGTCGCTCGCGCGGTAGAGAGACAGCGGGAGAGAGAGAGAGAGAGAGAGACAGAGACAGAGAGATCAAGGAAGAGACAACATTTTATGAAAAGTAAATCAAAGAGAGAGAGAGAGAGAGAGAGACACAAAAAAAGAGAGAGAGAGAGAGAGAGAGAGAGAAAAGCAAAAAAAAAATGCAGGAGGGAGAAAGGGAAATAGAGGAACAGTGGGAGAGGGGCAGGGAGCAGCGGGGAGGAACAGTGGGAACGGGAGGAGAGGGGGGGGGGAAGAAGGGAAGAGAGGGAAAGGGATAACGACATAAGCGAAGAGAGATATGGGGAGAGAGAGAGAGAGACACACATACACAAGCAGACAGACTGACAGACGGACGGACAGACAGACAGACTGACTGACTGACACAGAGACCGACAGACTCACAGAGTGACGCACTGCCAGACTGACAGACTTAAAGACAGTCGGACAGATAAGATAGACAGACAGACAAACAGACAGGCATAGAGAGAGGGAAAGCGAGAGAGACAGACAGAAAGAGAGAGAGAGAGAGAGACGCTCGTGCCAGCGCAGCGGGATCTTCACCGAAGGACACCAGGCATCCCTCCTCCTCCTTCTCCTCCTACTCCTCCTCATCCTCCTCATCATCAGCAGCATCCTTCCTGCTCCTGTCCGACCTCGTCGGCGTAGTTACTCCCTCTCCTTCTAAGCCTCTTCCCCGCCATCATCCTCGCCCTCCTCCGCCTCCTCTTCCTCCTCCTCTCGCGGCCTCTGACGCGAACCAGGGGCTTGTCGCCGGACTCGCAGATCTTGCTCCAGTCGTGATTCTGGTTCAGGTCGACCTCCATCTCCGCGAGCGTCTTGTCGGTCTTCTCCATCTTCATCACGTCGATTCCCCAGTGCTCCAGGTGCGTCGCGAGGAGGGAGTCCTTCGAGAGACTGCCAAATACACGCTGGCACCACTGCCGGCAAGGCCCCTTCTGGGCCTGGCCGGCAGTGGTGGAGGAGGAGGCAGGAGGAGGCGTCAGCGCACAGTTGGCGAGGCACGATCCTTGACCATGTCGTCCTCGTCGGGCGCGTACGAGTAGACGTCAGCGCCCTGAGGGGTGATGGTCCCGAGCTTGACCACCAGAGGGAAGAAATTGCCCTTCTCCTTCTCCTCATTGAAGTGGTCGAGAGCTCCGTTGCTCCCGCCGGTCCCGTCGAAGAAGCGCCGGCCGCCGCCTATGTGGCCGTCGGAGAGGTTGAGCCACAAGTTCTCCGTGGCCCCGCTCTTCTCGCAGACCCAGTCCTTGGGAGGCTCTCCGACGGACTCCCCGATAGACACAGGGAAGGAAACCGACCACCACCATTACCTGAGAGCAAACATTGCCACAGAAAGCGGAAGTCCATTGAAATCTTGAAAGGTTGCTCACTGAAAACACCAAAAGTTTCTTCTCAACAGAAAGGGTCGCTTTCAGTGAAGGTACTGGTCGGTGGGCTCACCACCGCTGCCTGAGGGTGCAGCGTTGGCTCGACTGCGGGGTGCAGATGCGGGGGATGCTCCCCGAGAGCGCCCCCAAAAGAATTCAATCTAGCTAAACCACAAGGACTGCAAAAATAAGGAACGACGCCTCGTTTTCTCCCCAAGAGCGCCTGGGTGCACGAGGGGCACTGAAGGAACAGCCATGAGTGACCTCAGGAACAGCGAGCCTCTTCCGAACTCTTGCCTCTTTCAGCGCCTTGACTGTACACCGCCGCTGCCCCTGGGCCCCACTGTCCCCCCGAACTGCCCCCCCGGCTCGCCGAGGCGCCGCAGAATGCCAGGTGCTGCCTGGTCGGGGTCCGCGTGTTGGCGGCGCGCACAAAGGGGGTGGAGGGAGGGGGGAAGGCTGCTTGGAAAGGGGCTGCTTCTTGAGGAGGCAGCCAGCCTACATCTGTAGACAAGGCACGCGCCCTCGAGAAGCATGGGGTGCTTCAGGGGTTGACCTAAACGGTGTTTTGGCGATTTCGTGGGCCGATTTCCGTCACTACCACTACCATTACCACTACCACTACCACTACCATTACCACTACCACTACCACTACCACTACCACTACCACTACCACTACCACTACCACTACCACTACCACTACCACTACCGCTACCACTACCACTACCACTACCGCTACCACTACCACTACCACTACCACTACCACTACCACTACCACTACCACTACCACTACCACTACCACTACCACCACCACCACCACCACCACCACCACCACCACCACCACCACCACCACCACTACTACTACTACTACTACTACTACTACTACTACTACTACTACTACGACTATCGAAACATCACCACACAAACTGCTGCGCTGGTACCATGGCAGAACTGGCGTCTGGCAGCTGCATACTTCTGTATCATCTCTCGCCGCCTCATGGTCGACAGCCAAGGGAAGAGGCGGAGGATGAATGTCGACGACGATGACGACGACAATCGCTCCTTCGGGTGTGGGCTGATTTTCTTGGTCGCGGGCAACTGCACTATTGTTTTGGAATACTTGGACTCTTTGAGATCCGTGTCGGCCTCCCACCTCAGACGGATCGGGTGGGAATGGGAGAGAAGGAAAAGGGGCAGGAGGAAGGAGGAGGGAGCGAGAGGAGGAGAAAGGTATGGAGGGTGGACGAGGAGAGAAGGAACAAGGACGATGGGAAGGACAAAATGGAAGGAGGGTGACCAAAGGACAGTGAGGGGAGTCGGAAGACGGATACGCGGAGGAGGGGGGAGCAGGAAAAGGATGACGGAGGAGGAGGGAGGGCGAGGAGGGGTCGAAAGAGAAAGAGTGGAAAGAGGAGGACGAGCAGGAAGAAGGAGGAAGCGGGGGAGGAGCAAGAGGCGGAGGAGGAGGAGGAGGAGGAGGAGGAGGAGGACGAGCAGGGAGAAGGGGCGCGGGGGGTGCGGGCGGCACGTGCGCTCCTCATCCAACTGTCTGCGAACTGCCAAGGATGGGCGGGGGAGGGGGCGGGCAGTCTGCCATGCAGTGCCATGCGGTGCCCCTTCGGGGGGAGCGACGAGGGGAGCGCCCAGCCCAGGGGCGAGCCATCCCTGTACTCAGCGGCGCCAGTTGTCGATGCGTTCGACGGGGCTCGGGGGCGAGTACGCGCGGTGCCCGCCCCTGGGCTGCTCGCCTCCACCGTCGCCCCCGGCGCCTTGCCTCCAACGCAGAGCGCACCCTTTTTGGGGGGCAGCAACGCCCAAGCCCCCTTTTGCGGTGCGTCTGCGACAGCACGAGGCAGACTGCAGCAGAAGACTCGGAGAACACGGCAACGACGGTCACGGCAGGGCGACGCCACCACGGCCACGGCACTCATGGCCACGGTCACGGTTGTCACGACAAAGATAGCATAATCCAGAAATGAAAGATTTTCTACACACTCCGAAGGCTTCACGATCCGTTTAGGAAGCACTTGCCAACACTGTTTCCTCTCGTTTGCCTCGTCGCCGCTGGCGGCCTGCGCTGCTGCCGCGCGGGCCCTGCGCCGGGGCCGTGCTCCTGGGGCGGGGCCCGGCGGGGCCGACCGCGGCTCTCCGACGGCGCAGGCCGCTCGGCGTCGGCAGACCTCGGGGCCACGAGCGGCGCTGAACCTCGAACGCCCGCGCGAAGGTCGCCGCCGCGTCAACACGTCGCGAACCGCGGTTCGAGCGCGCAGCGAGAGGGACGGAGGCACGGACTCTCCAGGCTCGACGCAACCTTTCCACGGGGCAACATCGGGCCCCATTTGAAAGTTCGGGCCGTGCGCGGGCGAATGCCAAGGAGTCGCCCCGCGCTCTCCAACACTATTTCCTCGGGCGCCGCCATACGTACGCCTCCGCGGTGCCTGGTCGAGCCACGCGCACGGCGCGGCTGCGCACTGCGCCCAATCCGACCGCAACGCCGGCACCTGCGGATTCTTAGTGCGCCCCTCGTGGCGGACACGTCATGGGGATGTCCGCTTTCCATGGACGTCTCAGGGTCGCAGGGAGAAAAAAGGGGACGGACGGGAGGAGGGAGGAGGTGAGGGCCGGGAGGGGGAGCAGGAGGAGGGCTTTGCTTTGCTTGGGCCTCGGGCAAGAAACGCGCACTCCAATCGGCGGGCCACTTGGAGTAACAGAACAAGACAGAGCGGTGGAGAGGAGGGAGAATGGAGGAACCGCAACAACAAGGAAGTGCCCCCGACAAATCGGGGCCCGATATGCGAACCGGCCAGACCGTCCCGCACGCACTGATCGGGCGATCGCCCAATCGATCAAGGAGACGCACTGCAGTGCGCCTCGCCAAAACTGGATGCCGAACTGGCCCATGCGAAAGCAACGTCTTCACTCAGCAGCCTCAGGTGGGACATGGTGTGGCTGGTCGGTGCGACGGCCCTTGTCCTCGTCAATGGTTTTTCCATTGTCTGCATCCTCGGCTGTGCTCTGAGCTGGAACAGACAAGGCGACGGCCCCAAGCGCCTAGGGGTCAGCCTCGCAAGCCCAAGGATCATCATGAGCCCACAACATGAGAGCGGTACGACTAGCATGGCTAGCATGCGATCCGGGAACGACAACGCCGTCCCGGGCGGGGCCAACATGACCAACGCGCACGCGGACCGCCGTCTGCCCGTCGCATCGCGCGTTTGCGTGCCTCGCGGAAGAATTCAGCGCAGCGCGCGTCGTGAAGGCCCGCATCTCCGAGGAGTCGCTGAAAGAGGGGGCCGTTGACGCCGTCTGCCACTTTCGCGGCGCCCGGGCCCGCGCGGCGATTCCAGGCGTCGACGAGTCCAGCGGCGCGGAACTGCAGTCCCACCTTCGGAATTCGTTGCACGGTGCGTTCACGAAACTCTCTCGCGCTGTCGCGCGCAACGAAGGCTCGGATGCCCATTGCGCGCGGATCGCGCCTCTCGCGGGGGCGTCGCCACCGCCCGCGCAAGCGCCGCCCCAGCGCCCGGCGGCCGCCGACATGGCGGGACAAAGCCAGCATCGCCTTCGCGGGGGGCGGCTTCGACGAACAGCAGGTCGCAGGCGTCCGCAGCCGGGCGCTTCGGGCCGACTGTCCTGGCGGCTCTGGCCCGCCACGTCGCCCCATGGTTCAGCGACGAGCTGCTTGCCGCGCGCCGCGGAACGGCGGGGCGCTGCGGCGCGCGCCGATCTCGGCAGCCACGCCCACGCACACGCGGAGCGCCGCGGGCGAGCGAAACATTTTCAAGTCGAGCGGCCGACGCGCTGAGCGCGGCGAGCGAGCCCCGCGCGCCGCGCCGACGGCGGCGCCGCCCGATGCCCCCCCGAGGGCTTCCGCGGCGCCGCCGCTGGAGCCGCCGGCATTGCCCCCTCGGGCGCTCCAACTCCAGGGGCCGGCCTGGCCCCATCTCCTCCTCCTCCTCCTCCCCCTCCTGCTCCTCCTCCTCCTCCTCCTCCACCTCCTCCTCCTCCTCCTCCCTCCTCCTCCTGCTCCTCCTCCTCCCTCCTCCTCCTCCTACTCCTCCTCAACCTCTTCCCTTCTCCTTCACCCCTCCTCTCTCCCCCTCCCAAAACTAAATCCCACGCGTGAGCGGCTGAGCCGGCTGCGTCGCGCCGGCGCCCCGGCTGCGCTTCGGGGCCTCCGGGGCCCGGGGGGCGCTCGCGCTCTCCGGCCCGCGGCGGCCTGGGCTGCCCCGGGCAGCCATCTCCTCGAGATCGCACCAGCCTGGCGCGGGGGCGCCTCGTCGAGGGCTGCGGCCGCCATGTCAGCCTGCCGTCGACGTCTGTTTCCGCGACGGGGCGGGCGCGAGCAGACGGCGGGGGCCGCGACCTCGGCCAGCGAGCCCCGGGGCCGCCTTCTCGCACGAGCAGCGGCGGCACACAGAGTCGCAATGCATTCCCAAGAGCTGCTCGCGGCCCTTCAGCGGGCCCGCGCGGCCACCTGCGCGACGGATAGGAAGGCACCAACTATACACCTACGCCGATCCTGGCCAGGATCACCCTGGGCCCAGGATCGGTGTATACGCCCTCCTGCCCTGCGCAAGAAGGCATATGCACCGATCCTGGGCCCAGGGTGATCCTGGGCCATGATCGGTGTTGGTGTATAGTTGGTGCCCTCCGAACGGACGCGGAGGGGCGGAGCCGCCGCCGGGGCGAACGCGGAACGCGGGCGCGCCAGCAGGCACCTCCGCTCGCGGGCGAGGGCCGCCGCCGCGCCGAGCTGCCGCCTGACCGCCGCCGCGGCGAGCGCGCGCCCGCGCAAGCAATTCGCGCGGCGTCGCAGCGATGGCGCGCGGGCGGCGCGGGAAGGGCACTGGTCGAAAGCCTGAGACGCCGGTCCGTCCAGCTCGCCGCCCGGCGCCGAGGGCCGCCGCCGGCCCCCTCGCCGCCACCGCCCGCGCCCGCGTCGCGAACCGCGCCGGCGGGAATCCATCGGCGCAGCTTCACGTCTACACCCTGCGAAATGCTTTAGAAATCATGGGTTAAGAAATTCATAGTCTCAGAATTTGAATAAAAACCCACAATGTCTATTCAAATATTAGGATCTACTTTGAAACATTAAGAATAATCGAGACTCTGGCCGAAAATTTGGGCTTTCTTAAGCATCGCCCAGGGTGTACAAGTCGCGGGGCGAGGCCCTCTTTTCTCTCCCGGCGCTCGGCTTCTGAAATCAGGGGGTCGACGCGCGCGGCCCCGACATCGCGGCGCGCGGCGTCCGGCGGCCGCGCCGCCCCGGCCAAACCGCGGCCGGCAGGCCGACCATATCTACAGAGCCGTTCGGTCGGCTCTGGAAATCGACGCGGACCGCCGAGGGCGCGCGGCAAGCTGAAATCCCACCGGCCCTCCGGGCGCGGGCGGTCCAGGGAGCTCCCTCTTCCAACCCCCTTCTTCCCCTTCGGGGAGGGGTCTGCCCCCCCCCCCCCCGCACCCCGCACCCCCGACCTGGACGGGGGGGCCGCGCCGCGTTGGAGCGTCCGCGATGGCCCAAGATGGCCCCAGGAGCGCCTCGGACAGCCCAAGACGGCCTCCAAGATGGCTCAAGATAGCGCAAGATGTCTCCAGATGGCACCCTAGATGCTCCTGGAGGCCCCAAGACAGTCCCGAGACGGCCCCAAATGGCCAAAGAGCTCCCGAAGGACGCCCCGAAGAGGCCAAAATCTCTCTAAACCTGAAGACATCACTGCGTTTTGCGTACTCGCCTTTTCGCTTCCGATGGCCATCCGAGGCCTCAAGATGGCCCCAAGATGGCCCAAGAGGGCCCCGAAAGAGGATCAAGAGAGCTCCAAAACGGCCCCAAGAGCGCCCAAGAGCGCTCCAAGAGCGCCCCAAGAGGCGATCTTCGGGGCTCCCAAGGGGCAACGCTAAAAAAGACCCCTCTTCGTTGAACGATATCTTCCAAGAGGATTCCAAAAGCGCCCGCAAAGCTCTCAAGAACGCTCCAATTGGGGCCCCAAGAGACGCCCAGACGGCCCCAAGGGGCCTCCAAGAGGCTCCCAAGAGACCCCCAAGAGGCCCCAAGAGGATCCACGAGGTACCCGAGACGCTCAAAGACAGCCCTGGGCCCGCCAAGATACTCCCCAACAGCTTCAAGAGGCCCCAAAAAAGCTTCGAAGGGGGGAAGAGGACGAGCAAGCGGGGACAAGCGCACGAAGATCCGATGCTCTGCTGAAAAAGATCAAACGATGGCTTCTGCCATCATTCCCACTGCCACTGGCTTCCTCGGGAGCCGCACTTGGCGGGACCGTCAACGGCGCGCACAATCAGCAGCCTAGCACACAGCGCGGAGAACTGGCACAGAGGACTGCGCAGAGCGCGTTACATTACCTGCAAGGCTGCTGCTCCACAGGTTGCAGCCGCGCCGAACTGCGCAGGCCCACCAGACACAATCATGGGCATCGGCTTTCGACCAGGATGATGGGGACCGACATGTTTCCCGATGTGTGCTGTCACGTGCGCAGGCCCACCTGACGCACTCTGCAATTGGCGCGGCTGGAGTGTACGGCACACCTGGCGCACTCGGAGCACGTGGCGCATCTGGCGCACCAGGCGTGCCTGGCGCGCGTCCCCATGGCACGCGTGGCGCACCTCGCCCAAGCGTCGCGCACCTGGGGTCGGCTTTGGTTCCCTGTAGCTGCCCATCCAAAGACGACCGCTGAACGTGCTCAGGCTCGGATGTTACGTATGTGTAGGGAGGGCGGGTGGGAGCGAGCTAAAACGGCTTGCGGGCGAGTGGGTAGCTTGACGACTCCTCCTTAATTACCCCCATCCCCTGGATCTGGACGGGCGGTGCCGCGACCCATTGGAGCGTCCAAGGTCTTCAAGACGGCTCAAGATGGCCCAAGATGGCTCAAGATGGCTCCCAGGATGCTCCTAGAGGCCCCAAGACCTCTCCAAGACAGCTCCAAGTGGCCACGGAGTCTCCCACGGCCCCAAGAGGCCCAAATCCTTCCAAAACCTATGGAAAATCAATGAATTTGGCCGTGTCGCCTTTTTGATGCCGATGGCCTTCCGAGGCCTGAAGACCGCTCCAAGACGGCCCAAGAGGGCGCCAAGAGAGGCCCAAGAGAGGCCCAAGAGAGCCCCAAGAGCGCCCAAGAGCGCCCCGAGAACGCTCCAAGAGGGGTCCAAGAGACGATTTTAGGCACTCTCGAAGGGCGAGGCCAATTGAAGCTCCTCCCTTGTTGTATCGAGGTCCTCCAACATGGCTCCAAGAGCGTCCCCAAGGCTCCCAAGAGCGCCCCAAGAGGGCCCCAAGAGGCGCCCAGGAGGCCCCAAGAGGCGTCCAAGAGGCCGCCAATAGGCTCCCACGAGACCCCAAAGAGGTCCCCGAGGCGCCCAAAGAGGCCCCCGGCACCGCCAAGAGGCCCCCAAGACGGCCCAAGAGGCCTTCAAGTTCGCCATGTTCCCCCTCAGGTCAGAGGCACTCGTCGTCGCTCGAAGAATCCTCCGCACTCCCTCATCTATCCTCCTCCTCCTTGTCTTCCTCCTCCTGCGAACGATAACGGCTGCCCCCCTCTATGCTCCTACACTTGCCTGATCACCTCTCATCGTTTTCTGGATGGGCTGGTGGCGATACTTTTTTCGGTCGCGGCCGCAAGCGAAAAGGCAGGCGGCGGGCAGGGAGTCCGGGCAAACGGGCAAGCCTAATTAGCTACAGAAGGCACAAGCCGGCCGGCCCACTCAGAAAGCAGCCGCGATGCTGAAGCGGGGAGCTGACAGCGGGGGGCATCCTGGGAGCTCGAGCACGTGCACAGGACAAAATGTTGAGGAATTCGGTACCTGCCATGGGCACGGCCCACACAGTATCAGACGTGAATCAGAGTAACCGAGCCCGTCGTTCTGAGTGGGGGCAAGCGCGAGGCCCGTGGAGCGAGTCGCCGGTGGGGCGCCAGGCTCCAAACGCCAATGACGACGTGTGCTGGCCAGGGGGGCTGAGCTGTCGCGGACCGTGGTGACTGGTGGCGATACGCGAAGCGTCAAGAATTATAGCCCTCCATCTCCCCCCTCCCTCCCCCTTTTTCCCCACACTCTCCCCCACTCCCACCTCCCGCCTCCCTCCCTCCCTCCCTTCCTTTCCCCCAATCCTTCTCCTCCTCTGGGTCCTCCTCCTCCTCCTCCTCCTCCAGCTCCAGCTCCAGCTCCTCCTCCTCCTCCTCCTCCTCCTCCTCCTCCTCCTCCTCATCATCATCATCATCATCATCATCATCATCATCATCATCATCAGCAGCAGCAGCAGCAGCAGCATCCTCCTCCTCCTCCTCCTCCTCCTCCTCCTCCTCATCATCGTCATCATCATCATCAGCAGCAGCAGCAGCAGCATCCGCATCAGCGTCACCATCATCACCATCATCATCATCAGCAGCAGCATCAGCATCATCATCATCATCATCATCATCATCATCATCATCATCATCATCATCATCATCATCATCATCATCATCATCATCATCATCATCATCATCATCATCATCATCATCATCATCATCATCATCATCATCATCATCATCATCATCATCATCATCATCATCGTCAGCATCATCATCATCAGCAGCAGCATCATCATCATAATCAGCATCAGCATCGTCATCATCATCATGATCAGCATCATCATCGTCATCATCATCGTTATCATCAACATCCTCATCCTCATCCTCCTCATCATCATTAGTAATATCAGCATCCTCAGCATCATGATCGACATCATCATCATCATCATCATCATCAACAGCATCACCATCATCAACAGAATCAGCATCAGCATCAGCACAGCATCATCATCACCATCTTCGTCATCAGCATCATCATCATCATGATCAGCATCATCATCATCATCATCATCATCATCATCATCGGCATCGGCATCGTCATCATCCTCGGCATCATCAACAGCAGTAGAATCATCATCATCATCAGCATCATCATCGTCATCATCATCAGCAGCATCATCAGCAGCAGCATCACCAGCATCAGCATCAGCATCATCGTCGTCGTCGCCGTCGCACGAACGCGCAGGCAAACGCCTCCGACGGCACAGTACGGGCAGGCGGAATGGACGAAGCGATTAGATAAAATCAGCAGCAGCACGATCATCATCAGCAGCATCATAATGAGCATCATCGTCACCAACATCAGCATCAGCATCAGCATCAGTGTCAGCGTCATCGCCATCATCATCGTCAGCAGCAGCAGCATCATCATAAGCCTCCTCCTGTTCCTCCTTGTCGGCATTATCATCAGCAGCATCATCCTCATCCTCATCGGTAGCAGCATCAGCATCATCATCACCACCATCATCATAATCATCATCAGTACGTTCATCATCACCGTCAGCAGCATCATCACTACCACCGCCATCATCACCACCACCACCACCATCATCACCATCATCATCAGCAGCATCGTCACCATCATCATCAGCACCGTCGTCGACATCAGCATCTGTATCATGAACAGCAATATCATCATATGACCTTGCTTTTCTTCCTCCTACTTTTCCTCCTCAGCCTCCTCCTCAATCTCTCCTCCTCCATCACCTCCTCCCCCTCCTCTTCCTTCTCCCCCTCCTGGTCTTCAGGGTCCTCCTCCTGCTCCTCTTCCTCCTCCTCCTCCTCCTCTGCCTCGTCCTCCTGCTCCTCAATCTCTCCTACTCCTGTTCCTTCCCTCCCTCCTCCATCTTCCTTCCTCATCGATAACTCATCCCTGTCGCACCCGGGGACGGGTCGGTAGGGCGGGCCGGGCGTGTTGCCTGAGACTTCCTCACCATGTGTGATCCTGAAGCTTGGAAGGCGGGTCGTTTTCCAAATATGGCTCTCGACCTAGCGCAGCGCACATTCGTCTGGAAATTTGCGGGAGCTTCGCGGATGGAGGGCAGGTGGATCTCAAAATGTGGCTCTCGCCTCAGCGTCGCGCGCATTCGTCTCAAGAACTTGCCAGAGCTTCACGAATGGAAGGCGGGCGGTTGCGGGGGATTCTCAAAATGTGGCTCTCGCCTAAGCGCCGCGCACTTTCGTCTTCACAGTTTGCACGAGATTCACGGATGGAGGGCGGGTGGCTCTAAATGTGGCGCTCCCCCTAGCGTTGTGCACATTCGTCTTAAAAGCTTGCCAGGGTTCCACGAACGAAAGGCGGGCGGTTGCGGATGATTATCAAAATGTGGCTCTCGCATAAGCGCCGCGCACATTCGTCGAAGTTTGCAAGAGATTCACGCATGGAGGGCGGGTGGTTATCTAAATGTGCCGCTCGCCTTAGCATCGCGTACAGTCGTCCTCAAAGTTTGCAGGAGCTTCACGGATGGAGGGCGGCTCCTTTCCAAAACATGACTCTCGCCTCAGCGCCGCGCACACTCGTCTTAACAGTACAGCAGGTCCAAGGTTACTTTTGGCTGACGTCCCAGGAATTGTGCTTTGGCCCAGTTTAGGATTCCCATGGCGCGACGGTAACGCTGATTCGCGCTGTCGACGTCCCAGAAGTGGTGCTATGGCATGATTTCGGATTGTCAGGTCGGTACTTTGGCACGGTTGTAGATTTTCAAGCGATTGTCCTCCAACTGGGCGCTTCCCGCAGTGAAGCTACATCCTTACAGGAGCCTGTGAAGACAGAACTTGGAGGGAGGGTGTGTTGCAACATCGTTGATGAGTCTTGTGCTTAGACTGGTCCTCCTCCTCCTCTTCCAGCTGCTCCTCCTCCTCCTCCTCATTATCCTCCCTCCTACTCCTCCTCCTACTCCTCCTCCTCCTCCTCCTCGTCCTCCTCCTCCCCCTCCTGCTCCTCCTCCTCCGCCTCCTCCTCCTCCTCCTCCTCCTCCTCCTCTCCTCCTCCTCCTCCTCCCTCTCCTCCTCCTCCTCCTCCTCCTCCTCCTCCTCCTCCTCCTCCCTCTCCTCCTCCTCCTCCCTCTCCCTCTCCTCCTCCTTCTCCTCCTCCTCATACTCCTGCACCACCACCCACTACGCATGCGCGCGCGGAGCAACAGGTCCGCTACGACACGCGTCCGCGGATAGAGAAAATCAGCGCCATGGTAAGGGATGGGAGGGAGGGGTAGGACGTCAGATATGATGCGAGCGCACCTAGCTTGTCATACTCCATCCTCATCCTCCCTCCCCCACCCCACGGACGCCTGCTGGTGGCGTCCATGGAACTCGCGCCCTGGTGCGCGACAACGGCGTCGCACACGTCGGACACGATCATCGGCAGGTCCGGGCAGGGCAGGGGCACGGTCGCCCTGGCAGGCAGGACGCCATCTCACAGGGAGGCGAGGAGAGGAGAGGGGAGGACGAGAAGGAGAAGGAAGAAAAGGAGGCGGAGGGATGGAGAAACGGAAGAAGGGAAGGCAGAAAAGGGGGCGGGGGGAGGGAGGGAGGAGGGGGGAGGCTGGCAGGAGGGACGGGGGGGAAGGACAAAGGAGGGTGGAGGGGGGAACAGGACGAGAAGGAAGAGAAGGAGGAGGGAGAGAGGGCGGAGGGAGCGAGGAAGAGGTGGGAAGGAGGAGGGAGGGGCGAGGGAGGACGGAGGAGACAGGAGGACGGGGCGGAGCGGAACGGGGGAGGGAAAGATAAGAGAAGAGAGGCAGGAAGGAAGAGGAGGAGGAGGAGGAAAAGGAGGTGGGGGTTTTGACGAAGCTATTCAAGCGCTCAAGGGGCGGCACCCCGAGCCGTTTTCTGATGGCCCAGGGGCCCAGAGACGGTCCGCTCACGCCGAAAGTTGCTTCGCGCAAGAATTCAGGCGTTTTTGCTCGAGCACCCAGAAATCTGGGCCACCCCTCCTCGCAATCGGCTCCACAGACCCTTCCTGGGGCGCGTTCCCATCAGAATTTCGGAATGGCGACGAGGGCGCCCCCTGAGGCATCCTCCAAAAGCTTCGACCATCGATAATCGATCCTTCCACCCTCCTCCTCCTCCTCCCCCTCCTCCTCCCCCTCCTCCTCCTCCTCCTCCTCCTCCTCGGAACCCAGACAAAACCACTGGCCATAAACGCCCAGAGGTCCGCGTGGAATCCCTGGATCAGCGGTGGGCCCTGGCGGCGTCTCCGGCGCAGTGCGGGCTTCACGCGCCAGGGGGGGGGGGTTCGGCAAATCCGCGCGGACCTTCGAAGGTTTTTGGTGACTGTGTCAACTGCGCGTGGAATTCCTGGATCAGCGATGGGCCCTGGCGGCGTCTCCAGCGCAATGCAGTCCCTAACGCGCTTCTCGGGAGCGGCCAAGAGGGGGGTGTCCAAGAGGGGGGGGTGCAAACCATGACCGGCGGCATGTGCGCGGCCCAGCGGGGGGGCCAGGGACGTAATGAAATAAGAAGAGGCGCCATGAAATCTGGGGAAGGGAAGAATCATGGCCCCCGCCATGATATCCACCTCCCCCTAGTCATCACCCCCCTCTTTGCCGCCCCTGAGCTTCACGCGCCAAAAGGGGGCTCGGCAAATCCGCGCGGACCTCCGAAGGTTTTTTGTGACCGTGCCAACGGCGGGCGACCTGGTGCCCGACGGCTCGACGACGAGCAGCGACTGCTCCTTCACCACGTCCCACCTGTCCTCCAGGAAGCCGCCGGAGACGCCGATCGCTAGCTTCGTCGGCTCCTCCACGGGAAGATAAAGGGAAATTAGGACACACAAATAAATACACACAAATAAAATTAGTCCCCATATTTTCCCATATTTTCTGGGTTTTTGTCTTCTCCCCCAATTCCCATATTTTCCCATATTTTCCTGGGAATCGAGGATTAATTGTGTCTGTGTGTTTTTTCCCTCCTGAGAAGAGGAGGTCGAGAGCCAAGGGCCAGGAGGCAGGTCCGACGGCCCGGGCCCGGAGCGACGAGGGCGAGGCAAGGACGACAGCAGAGAGGGGCCCCACGAGCGACCGAGGGGCCGAGATGGGCCCGAGAGGAAGCGGCCGCAGCGCAGCACACGAGGCACGAAGGGAACAGGTGGGCGACGGCAGCGACGAGGAACGACTCGAATCCACAGAAACGTCGGCCGCGCTGGGGCGAGAGCGCAGGTGCGCACGACGGGAGCCAGGCACCAGTCCTGAAATGCGGCCGACACTAACAACGGGAGGCCAGGCCCATGTCTGTAAAAACCGGAAGGGGCTCAACCGAAAACGGTATTTAAAACATGTGTGGGAAACAACATGTGCGGGAAAGGCGCCCCCACAAAACATGGCATCAGGGAAGGTGAGTGGCACTCCGACAGTGCAGCTGTGCAACAACAGGAGGGGGGAGCGAGGACGCAGGAGCGCCGCCAGAGGAGAAAACAAATACATCAATAGCCCTGGTTGGCTAGTGTTGGCGACCATTCGTTCCTTTCGCCACTGGGGCCGAGACAGAGGACGAAGAGCGGAACCAAGAGGCGGAGGACGCGACGTCGACGACGACGATGACGACGACGACGACGACGACGAGGGCAAGGACGCCGGCAGCACCAGTCCACACTCGCGCTGCAACTTGCAAGCAGCGTCGTGGCCTCCAGGTGCGGGCAAGCAAGGCGCTGGCAACGCGATGTGCGGCGGGAGCGAACTGCACTGGTCACGCGACGTGGTGCCGCAATCGAGCGGGCGGGCCAAGGAAGCCAACGGGAGACTCACGAAGGGATCACGGGAAAAGCACCGCCCTCGGGCACCTGTACCCATCGGTCATCAGAAACGGGTAAAAGCATGAAGCACGGATGCGGTGGAAACGGGGGAAACAAATCTTTCGAACCTTGAAATAGGAAGGCGCCAAAAAGATATCGGGATCTGAAGATCATATATTACCTACATTCAACGAAAGATGGATACTACAGGAGGTAATAACCCGGTTAAGGTAATCAGTAAAGACTTCCCACGCAAGCCTGCCGAAGATAACGCCAACAACGACCGGTGTGCGCCGTAAGCACGCGGGCACGCTCAGAGATAATTTCCAGGCGAGCCTCCTGGCAACGACGATCGCGGCGCGATGCGCGCCGCCTGCGAACGGGCACGTTCGGACTGAGCTTCCAGCGTTGTTTCCCAGCGACAACAAAGGCAAATCGATGGTTGGCTGCCTGACGCGAACGGGCTCGCTTGAAACGAACCATCTGGCGAGCGCCTTGGGAACAAGGCCGGCGACACAACATGCGGCGCAAGCACGCGGGCACGCTCGAAGTGAGTTTTCTGGCAACAGCGCCGGCCACGCGATGTGCCGTGGGAACCAGCGCCACCCACGTTTGGAACTCCCTGACAACTGCGCTGGTCGCGCAATACGGCGCCGCAAGCGAACTGGCACGCACAGTAGGGACACGAGAGGTAACGCAACACATCATCGTGACGAAAGTTAATTATGCCTTCCCCACACAACACAACAAGGCGGAACAGTTTGGAACAAAAATACTCCAACTACTCCGCGCGCGGGCGCGCCCCGCGCGATGCATCACAAGGCGCGGCTGGGAATGGTTTCCGATCCGGGTCGGGGGCAACCTCGTGAGCAGCATCGGGCAGATCGGAAACGACTCTGCCTCAGGAGCTGTTGATATTAGGAGGGATGGATGATAACTCCACATTCGCAAAGTGTTTTGTTCCCATCCATCCTGTGGTGTTGGCTCCTCGTTATGAAGAGGCAGCGCCACGCGTTCCTCTCCTCCTTCCTCCTCATCCTCCTCCTCCTCCTCCTCCTGCGCCCTCGGCATGTCTCTGTTTCGGCACACCCAGCACAGCGTTTCGTGACCCCATCAGGAGCTCCACCGAAGGCGCCAATGGGAGGGTTCGCACGGCGGCCTCGGGCCATGCCGGCACACCCCTCAGGAGGATCGCGGCCCCGTTAGGAACTCCACCGAAGGTCCCAGCGGCAGGGTTCGCGCGGCGGCCTCGGGCAATTTCGGTCCCTCCCCGTCCTCCCTCTCTGCCCCCCCCCCCCTCCCTTCCCTTCCCTTCCTCCCTTCCCGTCCGTCCCCTGCCCCTTCCCTTTCCCCTTCCTTCCTCACCCTTCCCTTTCCCGCTTCCCTTCCTTCCTCTACCCCCCTTTCCCCTTTCCTCCCCCCCCCTCCCTTCCTCCCTCTCCCTCCCCCCCTTCCTCCCTCCCCTTCCTCCTACCGTTTCCTCCCTCCTCCTCCCCTGCCCTGCATCCCTCTCATGCCTTCCTCTCGTGTCCCCTCATTCCCTCCCTTCCTATTGCCCGTCCCCTTCCCGCTTCCCCTGAGATCCGACGGTCGTGAAAACATGGAATGAAACATCGTCCAAAGTCGCGACCGGAGCCACAGACCACATCCTTCCGCAGCACGTCACAGATGTCTCCAGCTGGATCGATCCGTCAGGGCCCCGGGGGCCGGAACAGCCCGCCACGCAAGGCCTGAAGAAATCGCGACGCCCGGATCCCAGGACTCCCCCCTGCCTCGCCACGCGCGCGCGCCCCGCCCCGACGCCCCGGCTCCTCCTGCTCGGACTGCGCCGGCTTCTGCTTCTCCACCCGCCGGTGCTTCAGCACCACGTACAGGCCGCCCTTGCCGCCGGAGCGCTCCACGTCCAGCCCGACCGCGTCGGCGCCGAAGCCCTGCCACGACCTTCAGGGCGCCGCCCTTCGAGCTTCGAGGTTCGAGGGTTTTGTGCCGGGGGCCAGCCCAGGGGGGAAGTAAGAGGGGGCAGGCCTCCTCAGGCGGCGGGCCTCAAGATGATCACAGGCCCTCGCGCCCTCTGAGGAGGGGTCCCGCTTCAAAAAGAGTGATAACAAAACTCCTCGGAAGGCCGCAGCCCTTGTGGGCCTGGCCGAGAAGGCCCGCCCCCATCTGACTTCGCCTCTGGGCTCACCGACGATTTAGGATGTTTTTCGATGTTCTGGGACTCTGGGGGGCTTCTCTTCGCCACGGCAGGATCCGCCTCGAAATCCTGATCGCCACGGCCTCCCAGCAAGCTTTCCGACGTCGTGAAGAAAGCACGACGGGAGATTCGGACTTCGAAACTCGGCGTTTGAATTTATATTGCGTGTTTCTCCTTTTCTGGACCTTTGGGGGGATTCTCACCGCCACTGTCAAATCCGCCTCGAAATCCATGTGACGGAAAGAGCGAGGTACGAGTGAGTTCCGTTGAATTGGGGCGAAGCCCTTCTCGGGGGGGTCCAAAAGGGGCGCGAAGCCCGGACAGATTGGTCTAATGGCCCGTGTCCCTCGTATTTTTTCGAGTGAAACGGCTCCTGGGCGGCTCCCATGGCCCGTTTTTTGTATTTTTTCAGGTAACGGAAAGAGCGAGGTACGAGTGATGACGTTCAGGTGGGGCGAAGCCCTAAAGGGAGGGGTTCCAGGGGAGGGGGGAAGCGTGCGGGACTGGTTGCTAATGGCCGCCCGCATCCCCACGACGGCCCCAGAGGCGCCCAAGACGGCCCAAGAGGCGCCCAAGACAGCCCAAGAGGGGTGCGAGACGGCTCCAAGACGGTCCCAGAGCGCTCCGAAACGGCGAAAGTTGGGTCCAAGATGGTCTGAGAGGGCCCCAAGACGCTTTAAGATGGCTGCAAGACGGCCCAAGAGGCTTCCAAGAGGCTTCCGAAGAGGGCCCCGAGAGGCACAAATCATTGATTTTCCAATGGTTTTTGAAGGTTGTTCGGGTTGCAGCCTTTTCGGGCCATGAACTGCCGAAAACGACCCAGGAGGCTCCAAAGATCGCCCAAAGACGGCCCAAGAGGTCCCCAGAAGCGAGCGAAAACGGCCCAAGAGTGCCCCAAGGCGGCCCAAGAGGGCCCCGAAACGGCCCAAGAGAGCCCCAAGACGGCCCAGGAGAGCCCCAAGAGAGCTCAGGAATGCTGTCCAGCAAGTGTTTTTTTGAGAGGGCTTCCCAAAAACACTTCCCACGGCTACCCAAGAGATGCCCTGAGAGGCCCCAAGAGGTCCCGAGAGGACCCCAAGACTGGCCCAGGGGACTCCGAGAGAGCCCCCAAACGGCCCAAGAGGGCGCCAAGACGGCCCAAGAGGCGCCCAAGACGGCCCAAGAGGGCCCCAAGACGGCCCCAGAAGGGGGACCACGAACCCGAAAGTCTAACCTTTCGCCCCAAGATGCTCCCGGGAGGCCCCACTTCCCGAAGAAGCCCCAAGAGGCCCCCAAGAGGCCCCCAAAGGGGCTCAAAAAGGGCCGCAATAGGACTCCTAAGAAGGCTCAGAGAAGCCAAATAAAGAGCGATCGGTAACGCAAAATGCTCTTCACACCAAGGCCCCCAAGAGCGTACGGTGACGTAAACAAGCTGATAAGACCAAGGCTGCCAGCAGGGAGTGCTGGCGTGACAAGTTCCTGACACCAAGGCCCAGCCAAGGCTCAGGAACGGGCGGCAACGCAACAATCTCTGAACACCAAGGCTCCCAAGAGCGCGGGGTGACGCAACAAGCTCTCAACGCCAAGGCTCCCAGTACGAACGGTGGTGTGAGTAATTTCGGTCAAGTTGTTGAAGCGCTCTTTCCGTTTCCGTGCCGGCCCAGGTGAAGCGGCCCAAGGGCCCCAAGACGGCCCAAGACGGCCCAAGACGGTCCAAGAGAGTCTCGAGACGGCCCCAGAGACCCTCAAGAGGGCCCCCGAGAGGGCCTCAGGAGCACGATTCAGGATCGTCAAGACGCATCAGTCAGGTTGATCCGCGGCGTTGGAATCCCGGGAACAATTTTTTGGCAAACGTCAGGGTCTTCAAACGGTTGTCTTCCAACGAGGCAGTGCCCTCAGTGGAAATGAACCGTTGTAGGGGCCTATGGCGAGGGAGCTTGTAGGGAGAGTTTACTCCAACATCGTTGATGACTCTTGGGTTTACACTGGTCTTCCTCCTCCTCCTCCTCCTCCTCCTCCCCTCCCTCCCCCTTCTCTTCCTCGTCCTCGTCCTCCCCCATGTTCCTCCTCCTCCTCCTCCGCCTCCTCCTGAAAACTAAGAATCAAAGGTAAAGGGACCCAGGGAGATACAAATAAGTAGACACACATTCCAGGGTTCCCTAGACGTTTCAATGTTTTCTGGATGTTCGCCTTCCCTTCCACGTCCGATGTTTTCCCATCTTTCCAGGGCATCGACGTTGATGTGTGCCTGTGTCTATCATTCCCTCCTGAGAAGCTTGAGATGCCTCTGTACCGTTGTGGAGCTTCCAAGAGGTGTCAGGGGAACCTCACGGAACCTCTGGCGGGCCTCTCGAACAGCCAAAGACCTCTGGGGGCCTCCCCGAGAGCGCTCTGGGGCGCTGTGAAAGGATCGCCTCAATTTTCGGGCGAAGCTAGGCCCGCGTGAGGTACCTGGACACACCTCGTCACCACAGAGAAGCGCGGACGCCAGCGAGCGCAGGACCGCCTCGCTGCTGCCAGCGGTATACCAACACGAAACACACCCCCAGCACGACGCCACGCGGGAAACAAAACGTGAAATAAACATGAACTGTCATGTCTTCCACCTTCTCCTCCTCCCTCGCGGAAGAGTAAACAACGATAACAACAACAGCAACAACAACAACAACAACAACAACAACCACCACAACCACAACCACAACCACAACCACAACAACAACAACAACAACAACAACAACGACAATAACAACAACAGCAGCAACAGCAGCAACAACAACAACAAGAAGAAAAACAACAACAGCAGCAGCAGCAACAGCAACAACAACAACAACAAGCACAACAACAACAACAGCAACAACAACAACAACAGCAACAGCAACAGCAACAGCAACAACAACAACAATAACAACAACAGCAACAGCACCAGCAACAGCAACAGCAACAGCAACAACAACAACAACAAGAACAAGAACAAGAACAACAACAACAACAACAACAACAACAACAACAACAACAACACTCCAGCTCCAACATAGCCTACCGAACGCCGTGAACGTCTCTACTACGATGGGGGTCGACGGAATGGCGTAAGCCATTGGAAACAACTTTCGGTGGACCACGCCGATTTCTTGGACCGGCGCTTGGCCCCCCCCTGCCTGGCGCGGGGAGCGCGCCACTGGCGGCGCCAGACGCGCTGCCAGGGGGGCCAAGCGTCGATCGAAGAAGTCCGCAAGGACCTCCGAAAATTCATGTGTGCAGAGCCTTGTCTTGCTCGAGCAGTGGAACAATCGATTCGTGCCCTGGGGCATGATCAATCAGCATCGAATCGGGAAATCGGATCGAGTCGGCATGTGCATCGAATCGGGCCGAAGTGGCACGGGATCGAAACAAAAATCGGATCGGCTGCGCCAGGATGCAAAACAGCGCCACGCAAGCAGCGGACCGCCTCGAGCCGCTGGCAGTCGAAATCGAATCGGATCGAGTCGGCAGGCGTCGATATTGATGGGCCTGTTTTCCACCGCCAGCACCACCATAAGTTTCAGGGGGGAAGGAGGTGGAGGACGAGGAGGAGGAGGGCGAAGAGGAGGAGGAGGAGGAGGAGGGGGAGGAGGAGGGAGAGGAGGAGGAGGAGGAGGAGGAGGAGGAGGAGGAGGAGGAAGAAGACCCCCTCCCCCTCCAACTTATGGTGATGGTGGTGGAAAACAGGCCCATCATATATCGAAGCGGATCGATCGGATCGAAGAGTGGGCCCCGCGGGGCGGCCTGAGGTTGACGGCCAGGCCCCCGTCGCTGAAGGGCGTGTCGAAGGTGAAGGCGCACTCGTCCTGTCAGCCGCGGGGGCGGGGCCGTGGCGGCCCACGGGCGTGCGCCGCCGACAGGTCCGTGGCGCTCATCGTTCCGGCGCGCCCAGGATATGCCCGGGAGAGCAGGGTCCACGAGTCCCCCTCGAGCTCTCGAGTGTGTGTGTGTGTGTGCGCTCGTCGTCGCCGTCGGCCGCGTCGCCGCCGTCCCCCCTGCGGGGCCGGCGCTCGCCGCGGGGCCCCGGCAGCCTGCACGGCGCAGTCTTCGGCGCCGCCCGAGGGCGGCGTGGCCTGCCCGGGGCGCGGTCCGCAGCCCGCGCGCGGTGGGGGGGGGGGGCCTCCCACGGAGAGCTCCGCCGAGGGCGTCCAACGGCGCGCGAGGGCGTCGCGGAGGCCTCGACGGAGAGCTCCGCCGCGCCAGGCCGAGGGCCCACCAGACCTCTGGCGCCGCGTGGCGGCCCCCAGCAGTCCGACGCGAGGAGGGATGTGCGCAGGAGACGAGCACGAGGGCCGCGAGGGGGGGGCAAAATGGCGAGCCCGTCGCCGCCCCCAGAGGTGGCGACGTCCGAGCACTACTCGCACCCACCATGGATTCTCTCGACGAAGGATTGAAAAAAACCCTTCGACGAAGGGTTTTTTTGCAATCCTTCGACGAAGGGTTTTTTTGCAATCCTTCGTTCAAGGGGTTTTTTTGCAATCCTTCGAGGCGGGGGGAGGGTTCTCCTTCGGCCACGTGTTCCAGGAATTCCGAGCCCTACTCCCCCGCCGCCCATCGAGTTGCCTGAATCGTCGATCGGCGCCAAAAAGGTTTGGTGAGCCCTCGTCTCGGCGGCGACCACAGGGGTGAATCCCACCAGTCCTTCGGGGTGCGAGTGGTGTGAGGAGCTTATTATTCTTCTTTCGCCCCCCCTTCTATCCCTTTCGGGGAAGCGTTGCCCCTCCCCCTACCCCCTACACCTGGGTCTGGAGAGGGCATCTCGTGGGTTTTTGGAGCGACCAAGATGGCCTCGGCGCGGGAGCCCAAACCGTTGATTTGACAAAAGCGTTGGCCACATTTGGGCCTTCTGGGGAGGCCCTAGTGGGTGAGCTCCGCTCCTTTGATCGATCTCCTCCAAGATGGCCCAAAAATGGCCCCCAAGGCTCCAGAGGGCGCCCCAAGAGGGCCTCAAGAGGTGCCCAGGAGGCCCCAAGAGGCCCCCAAGAGGCCCCCAAGATGCCCCCAAGAGACCCCCAAGACGCCCCCCCAGGAGGCCTCCCAAAGGCACCCGAGAGGCAATACGCATCAAAAGGACGAGGCGAAATGGCCAAAATCAACAATCTGACAAAGGTATTTCCCACAGTTGGGCCTCCTGTGGATGGGGCCCTGGGTAAGGAGCCCCCCATCCATGGATCGATATCCTCAAAGACGGCCCGAAGATGGCACCCGAGGCTCCAAAGGGTGCCCCAGGAGGACCCCACGAGGGCCCCAAAACGTGCCCAGGAGGCCCCGAGAGACCCTAACCAAGATGCCCCCTTAGTTCGCCCCCAACAAATCCCCGAGGCGCCCCAAGAAGCCCCCCAGGGGCACCCAAGACGCCCCAACAGGCCTTGGCGAGATGGCGAAAAACAGTGTACGGCAAACAAAGGTCTGCGCCGCATTCGGGCCTCCCTTCTGTGGCTGGTCTCCTCCACGACGGCACCCGACGCCCCCTGGGCACCCCCAGGCGGCCTCAAGAGAGGCGCCAAAGAGGTGCCCAAGAGGTGCCCCCAATATGCCCCCAAGAGGCCCCCAAGAGACCCCCACGAGGCCCCAACCCCCCAGAAGCACCCCAGACGCACCTAGAGGTCCCCCAAGACTGCCGAGAAACCCCCAAAACGCCCCAGGAAATATCAGAATGTCCTGTGGCGGGCTTTCGTTTGCAAACTCGTGACTGCTCGTTCAGTTTTTTGCCGGGCACAAATCGCCCCAGGCCGCACAGCCGCCCCTGGACGACGCGGGGCCCCAGAATCCCCCTGGGCCCCAAGGGAAGGCCGCCAAGAAACATAAACAAAAGGTAATCAGGATACAAGGCAATGCCCCAGAACTTCGGGGCAACTTTGACCCAGGCCAGGGGGCCAGTAAATCTGTTGGCCCCGATATCGGCCGCTTCGTTTGGGATGCGCCCATGCTGTAGCTCGATAGTTCCCAGAGTAAGTTGTTCTGAAACGGCGGGGGCATCAATTCAATGAGTGCAAGAGAGGCATTAACTGACCACCCCCGCTCTGGTGACCTTACATGCTGCCTAGCTGTCTCCCATGAAAGTGCACTTGGGCACTCGTTGTAGGAGTAGCTCCCACAACGGGAGAGCTACAATGAGTTCTGTACGCAACGCCATATCAGCCACACAAATTCAGCCTGCAAAGCGCCGTGAGAAACGCACGCTTGCCGACGTGAGGTCGCCGGTTAGCTCTTGTACTAGGACCCCAAACTACTTGATGACAGGCGCTAGAACTGCGATGGGTGCGCAAGTCACTGGCAAGGTCAGCTTCGGAGTACTGGCGAGTAGATACATGAGACATGGTGATGCCCACCCAAGATGCCATACGATAGTTGGATGTATATTGTATATCGCATGCGAAACGAAATAAATCCACACGTTGCTCTTCCGTCCGTTTGGTTACGCAACTTGCGGACCGGCAAACTGCCCCTATCAGGTCATATATTGCCGCGCTGGTTCCATATGGTGTTTTCATCAAATCGTAGCAGAACTAGGTTGCAAAATACCTGACGGGACCGGAGGGAGAAGGGAATCGTCACTGGGGTCCGCGGCGAAGCCGGAAACCGTGACTTTCCGATGCGGGGGTCCGACAGTGGCCGCTATGATGAACACGGCAGCAAGAGCTTCTTCGGCTGGGGAAATGATTCCCCCCTAGGGTCCCTCTGTCCACGCTCGAATTCCACAAATTCGGGTCCAAAAGGGACGCCTGCAATAGGACGCGTGGCAGGGTCAGCATCCGTCAATTGCGCATAGAAAAGCACGTGCTCGAGGGCTTCGGGTGCACAGCGCCATGCGTAACCTTGGGCATGATCTGTACGGTTTGGGAACCCATCGAGTACAGGCGCGCACTCGTTTGAGGAAGATGTTGGCAAGGAACCAGAAGGTGCTCATGCTTAGGCGAACAGTCGGATTTCGCGTGGGATATCCACGGTAGACAAGCTTGCTACCCTCAGCGGCGCACTGCGCTGGCGTGTCGGGAGTTACTGACGAGGCTCATCAGAAAGGCTCGATTTCACTGACTGTTTACTTGGCAACACAGACTTCTGCTGAGTATGATCAAATATGTGGCTGACTGTAATACTGCAGTTCGTTAGTATTGCTGGATATGGGAGTTCAGATCGTCTCTAAGTCGCCTGCACCATGCGTGGGCTTCTGTCTCCAAGCGTCTGTTTCCTCGCCAGAGCTGGATGCACGTCAAAAATTCCATCGGCGCGGTGACGTTGACCTTGTGGCGAATTGGTCTGGCCATGCACTCGTCCACGGTGCTTATCACGGACCGAGAGGGAGGTATCTCTTTGTCGTCCACGTCGCCGAAGGATGCACGCCCACTTCCTTGTCGTGGCATTCAGCGGTGGCAGGGTGACAGGATACGCGGGCGTCTGAGTCTCGCGGGTGCTACAGCCCCCATTTGGTTTCGAGCTATGCGAGCGTGCACTGGATCGAAGATGGCGGCGGCTACGTCGGCTACGTCTGCGGCGTCTCTTCGTGCACATTGGTCAGGTATGCATCGGACCCAGGAGGAGAGGCATGCAGCTGGTCTGGCGAAGCATCCTGGCCGTTGCAAGTGGGGTGCTAATTTGGGCTCTGCGGGGAAGTGTTCCTACCTGTGTGAGCCCCTGCTCAAGGCCGCTGACGACACGGAGGAGCAGGATGGCGTTCTGCCTGAAGCTTTGAAGGGCGCTCAGCGGCATATGCATGATCAGGGTCTTCGAGCCATTGAGCCGGAGGGACTCCCTCGACGTGGCCATCCAGTTGCCGACATTACCTTTGGATGTTCCTTCGGCTTCTACTACGTATGAGTATACGCTTTGGAGAGACTGGAACTCTGACAGTACCAAGTGGGGGAGCGTGATCTTCACTGATGGATCTGGCGATGCGTCCTCGATTCCAGAACTGGTGAGATGCGGTTGGGGGTTCGTGATGCTGTCACAATGGGGCCTCCCCACACGTGCAGCAGATGGAGCATTACCAGGACGGATTCAATCGGTTGGGCGAGCTGAGAGGTACGCTGTTCTCATGGCGTCCAGACTGGTTCGCAAGCTTAATTTCATGTGCACCTACCTGCTGGGGCTCTGCGAGGAGGGCAATAGCTAGACGGATGAGTTGGACTCTGCCAAGTGTGCACATGCTACTATCTGGCGTCAAGTCGAGATTGTTGCGGGGGAGCGCAAATCCACCTTCTTCTGGGTTCTGTCGCACAACGATCTGGATAATTTCGCTGAGGCTGGCATCTCGCCTGCCCGTTTTCTTGGCAACTTGTCGGCGGATGCGTTTGCGCGTGAAGGAATTCTTCTACATCGCATAAATCAGGGATTTGAAGATCCGCCGGCCCCCTTTGCACCCTTCACTAATTGCACTTTCGAATCTCCAATGTTACACTCCTGTTTTCTGCTTCCTACCGTTAAATTGTTGAAGTCCGCGCGAGGGGCGGGAGCCCCAAACCGCCCGGTTACCACCCCCAGATCGCGTGCTCTGAATTCCCGGGGGGGGGCGTGGGACACGTGAAAATACATGATATTCGCGCCCCCGAAACCATAATCCCTCGTAAAATACAAAATGTTCGCGTCCCCGAGGCCACAAACCCTCGTAAATTACTCGAGTATTGCGTCCCCGAGGCAACGACCTTTCGTAAAGTATCGGAGGTTGGGGGGTGAGATCGCAGTGTAACGGAGTCCCCCCACCGGGAAATCGAGTTTCGAGTTCGTGCTCGTGCCGTGCGTGCGGGCGAGGCGAAGCTGCGTGGGCCAGCGAGAGGAATTCACTCGGCTGTCGCTAGGGGTCCGCCAACACAAATGTTTCCCCCCCCGGTGTTGTCAACGGTGGCCCGCATTGTCCCGTCGGTTGCCCGCTGGTTGCTCGTCATGGTTGCTCATCATGGTTGCTCATCATGGTTGCTCATCATGGTTGCTCATCATTGTCCCGCCGGTTGCTCATCATGGTTGCTCATCATGGTTGCTCAACACAGTTGTCGTCATGAGCCACCCCCCTCCCCCCACCCCCCCACAACCTCCTTATCACCTGCAGGGTGGTCGTATTGGTATGGTACTCGCGTCCCCGAAGCCATAAACCTTGCAACATGATGCAATTGTTTCGTCACCGAGACAATAAACCTTCTAAGTTACGCAATTGTCGCGCCCCGAAGCCATAAACTTGAGCAAATTACAACGTATTCGCGTTGCCGAGGCCAAGAGTGCTCCAAGGCGCCCGAAGATGATTCCAAGACGACCCAGGAGTGCCCCAAGAGGCCCCAAGAGCGCTCCGAGAGACCTCCCAGGAGAGCCCCAAGAGGCCAAAATCGTTGATGTTATTGAGGTTTTGAAAGATTCTGGAAATCTCGCATGTTCGGCTTTCCGACACTCCAAAACGGCTCAAGAAGCTCCCAAGACCGCCCCAAGACAATCCAAGACGCCTCCAAGAGGGCCCCAAGACGGCCCAAGAGGGCTCCAAGATGGCCCAAAGAAGCGCTCAAGACGGCCTAAGAAGCGCTCAAGACGGCCCAAGAGGGCTGGCCCCAAGACGGCCCCAAGAGGGGCCCAAGCAGGGGACCACGAACCGAACATTCGATATTTGTGCCCCGAGAAGCCCCCCTGAGGCCCCAAGAGGCCGCCAAGAGGCCCAAGAGGCCCCAAGGGACGCCCAAGACGCGCCAAAGAGACCTCCAAGAGGCCCAAAAGCAGCGCCGAGACGGACCGACGCGACTCTATATCCCATACTGATATAGAAGGGTCTGGCGGCAGGGGGCGAAGCCCTTACGGATAACTTCAGAATGGAGCTCAAGCGCTTCCAGCAGGTTGCGAAGTACATGGCATGGGCTATGCAGCGCATGCTGAAGCTGGGCGGTTGGGTCTCTGATAACGTTCTGCCGCCAGTGCGCAACCCACAGCTTCAGGAAGTGAATAAGCCGGTGGCCATCAAGCACAACATTGTCGAGCGAGGTTATGGTACGTACCATTTTGCGGATGGCTTCCTGTCGCAGCACATGGGCCTCCGAAGGACCTGACTTGGCGTTCTTTGTCCTGAGGATTCCGCGCCATGAGAATGCGGTGGGCACTTCGAGAGCGGAGGCTCACATTGCCGAGTATGGTGCGCGGCCTTGATTTCATGTGGGCCCTGCCGACGCTGCTCTACAAGCGGCGGACTCCACAGACATCGATCAAAGCTGTGACAGCTGTTGGCGGTGCCCTACCACTACCGAAGGTGCGTGGAGCGGGTCTGAGCTCATTGAGCACAATGGGCACAGGCTTCGACGTGCTGGTGGGACAGTTTTGTGCGAGCGCTGCGCGGCATGGGCTAGCACTGGTCCGTCGCGGGCGATGTACGAGAAGTGTATTGGCTTCCCCTCTGGAGAGGGTCGCGCCTCCACTTACGTTTCGAATACCAGAGGTGGGCTTCGAAGGTTCTTGGCAGCCAGACATCCAATACGGATGAGCCGCTGTAATGTATGCTCGTCTTTGTTGCCCCTCCGTGAGGGTTCAACTACAATCACGAGTTGCCATCGTCTCTGGGCGGTGGCCTGACGAGGGAGGATTTCACGACGCCAGTCCACTCACCTTCTGACTCGGTGTGGAGGCTCCCTGCCCGTATTGGTGGCCGTCGGTGGAGAGTCATGACTATCTTGGGTAGTCTGCCAACGCCGTTCCTAGGCGTCACCTCGCCCCCCAGAGTTCGAGCTTGTTGGAAGGCTGTAGGTGTTACAGTCGGGGCTTGACCTAAGGAACCCAAAATAAGGAACGAGGCCCCTTTTTTTCCATGAGTTAAACTTCGATGTCCGACCGAAAACAGAAGGAAAACCTGAGGCAAGCTGCGAAACACTTAAGGAACGCGGAGCCCCTCCCCAACGAAAAGGGTTCCTTCTTCAGGGCCCCGACCGTACCCCTGCACTTCGGTGAGGCGCACCGCCCCTGCGGAGGTTGAGGTCTGGGGGGCTTCTCCTGCGGGAGGGTGCATGTCAGGAGGGGGAAAAACACACAGACACGATTAATCGTCGATTCCCCAGAAAATATGGGAAAATATGGGCAGTGGGGGGGAAGACAGAAACCCAGAAAATATAGGAAAATATGGGGAACATTTTTATTCGTGTGTATGTATTTGTGTCCCAGGGCCCATTCAGCATGGCCTGTACCCCAAAAAATCCACTTGAGGGGAGCTGTGTTCGACATCCCAGCGGCAGTTGGGCTGGGTTGGTTTGATATGGTCTGGTGTCTTATTCCAGTCTGTGGTGTTGGCCTTGCCTATCTATCGGTTTTTGATTGGCATGGTATCTATATCTGGGAAGTGATGTGTCGATTATAACGTATTTCACTGCGTTTGGATGTCAAGGTACTACTTCCGTGCAAACGCGGTGCTCTCCATATTGGCGTATCCTGTTGGGAGTGCTGACTTGCTGGTAGTGGGCTGGGGGAGGTCCCCGAAAGGTCCGGCCTGTGTGGTGTCTTCAACGGCTTCGTTGTCCTCGGGACGGCCTACTTTCAGGCCCAGCGGTAGCTGGGCCTCTTGGGCCGCCGGTCAGGCAGGTGGGAGGGCAGGGGGGTCCCAACGAGTCTTGCCGTCCTGGGCCGACGTTCTTCGGCGTGCTCGACAGCTACGTGGCCTCTCTCGAGGCCTGAAGCGGGCCCGCCGCCCGCCCCCGCCGCCCGCTGTCCGACTTGGACGGCGGCGCTCAGCCTCGCGCCTCGCGCCTCCCCCTCCTTCTCCTTCTCCTCGTTCCTCATCGGTCTGCCCGGGCCAGGTGACGCGGCAGCCGGTCCTTGTACACCTTGTCGTAGTGCTGCGGCGCCTTCAGCCCCGCCATCAGGGCTCGGACTGCCTCCAAGGAGAAGATGGGAAAAAAGAGGGCGAGGCGAGGGAGGAGGGAGGAGGAGGCGGAGGAGGAGGAGGCGGAGGAGGAGGAGGCGGAGAGGAAGGAGAAGGCGGAGGAGGAGGAGGAGGAGGAGGAGGCGGAGAGGGAGGAGGAGGAGGAGGACGAGGAGGAGGAGGAGGAGGAGGAGGAGGAGAAGTACGTCGTTGGGACGACTTTTGGGGTTGGGGGGGGCGCGCCGCGTCGCGCCCCCCCCCCCAACCCATCCGTGCGCGGTGCGAGGCCGACCGCCCCGCCCCCGCGCGGCCGAGAGCGCGCCGCGGCTCCGCGCGTCGGCCCGCGCGGCAGCCGCCGGGCCTGCCGCCGGGCCGCGGCTCGCCACTCGGTGGGCTGGCATGCCTGGGGGGATGGTCTTCGCTCCCTCGGCGAACGTCGGCGGTGGACAAACCTCCCTTCAGTGAGCCTCCCTGCCTGGGGGATAGTCTTCGCTCCCTCGACGAACGTCGGCGCTGTCGTCGAATTCGTCGTCGCCGTCGCCAGTTCCAAGGAGGCCTAGAAGCGGCCAAAGAGAGAAGCGTCGTAGAAGAAACGTCGCAGTAAAGTCGATGTCCCTCTCCCTGTCCCCTCCCTGCCAGGGGGGGGGGGCAGAAGGAGGGACACGGGGGGGTCAGGGGGGAGTAGTCGGCGGTGGACAACCCTCCCTTTAGTGAACCTCCCTTTAGTGAAAACGGCCTGGGACCGTAACCGACGGACCCTGACACGCAAAAATGACGGCCGCGGCGCCCTCTCGCGAACCGAAAACGGCCGATTCGATACTCGACGCGTCGGGGTAGGAGGGCTGTCCACCCCCGAGACTGACGGGCGGCCGAGCTGGCCTGCGCGTCGTGGGAGCGGTACCGAGCAGCGGCCACTCGAAGACGTCCAGCTCCACCAGAGGCGCCTCGGCTTCTTGGCTGCGCGCTCGGCGAAGAGCTTGGCCACCCAGACGCCAACCTGGGACGGGTCGCCTCCCTGCCCAGAGATCCGCGTGAGCCTCCTCCTGGGCCCCTCGTCGGCAAAGCCCGTCTCGTCTATGGCCTTGACTCCGCGGTCCACCCCTCCAAGGGGGTCAGCCGAGCCCGATCATGCAGCGCCCCCGCCACGAGACCCATGAGCCCCAGCAGCGCCATCAGCCCGCTGTGCAGCAGTCTCGGCCTCTGCCTTAGTGGCCAGCTCCTGCAGCCGACGAAGCTGCCCAAGCGCCTGCGTGCCTTCTTGGGACGACGTGGCGGACTCACTGAACCCCGGAAGGCAAGCGCGACTGGATTCTCGACGCTCTCCAAATGAACTCTGTGCGATACCAGAATGTCTCTTTCGAGCTCGCCTCGTGCATCCTGGAGTAGCTTCTCGTCGTCGGCGATGACATTGTCCAACTCTTTTCGCTGCTCCTTGGAGCTGGCGGTCCGCTGCTCGAGGCGATCGACCTTCTTTCTGCTGTTATCGACTCTGTGTTGGACCGCGAGGACCGATGTGAACTTACTCTCCCGATCTGCGATGTGCCTCTCTTGCACCTTGGAGACTGCGCCCTCATCAAGGTTGTTCTGCCTGAAGAACTGCCCAAGGTTGAGAGCCGAGCCGCGAGCTCCGTCTTGAGTCCCTCTCATGGTTGACGCCTCACCCACTGGAGGCCCACGCGCCCAGGCCGCCTTGGCTCCACAGGAGGGAGCCTGCTTGAACTGCGTCGCGGGGGAGCCAACACCTGCGACTCTCTGCGGGGCCGACGCACCGCAGCCTCTGAGTTTGAGCCTACTGGCCAAGATGCCGTCAGCCCCGCACCTGCACCCCATGTGGGGAATTTGGGGCCTGGCAACACATCCTATTGGGGAGCGCCCATGACATCTCCCGGGCACAAGATTACCAAAGTTTGGCTCGCGAGCACGATGACACTTCGAAGCAAGTGCCCGCAACATTCTCGAGTGCGAAATGGCTGGAGGGGGAGGGGGAGGAGGAGGAAGGGGAGGAGGAGGGAGAAGAGAGGAGAAGGAAGAGGAGAAGGATTATGGACGAGGAGGGAGGAGGAGGGAAAAGGAGGGGGGGGAGAAAAAGGGAGGAGGAGGAAGAGGAGGAGGAGGAGGGAGAAGGAGTCGGAGAGAGAAGGTAAGAGGAGGAGGACGGAGGAATGAGGAGGAATGAGGATTAGTAGGGAGGGGGGAGGGAGGGGATGGGATGGGGGAGGGTCACCTCCAGGGTCTTATCCATTGCGGACGAGGCCAACGGAGAGCAGCAGGATGCTCCCGTCGTGCAGCAGCGTGCGCCTGTTCCCAGTGCAGCTCCTACCCATCATCCAGTTCCTCCTCCAACTCCAACAACTCCTCCTCCTCCTCCTCCTCCTCCTCCTCCTCATCCTCCTCCTCCTCCTCCTCCTCCTCCTCCTCCTAAGCGTCTCGGCACAGGCGCTTCCCTCACTTCCACATTGAACAATGAAGCCTACCACACCTAAGACGCTTAGAATGGTTCATTCTTCTCCCACCTTGGTTTTCTTCTAATGGCCTCCCGCTTCCTACTGTTCCTCAGCGGCTGGACGGCCATCAACGGTATGAACAGCCTCTCTTTCTTGCAGTATAACCCCCAGTCGGCCTCCACCTCCGATCGGCTCACCGATATCGCCGCCCAGGCCCCCAACATGGATTTCATCGGGTTGACTGGCACGGGCAGCAAGAGGCATGGGGAGGCGGTGGGTTGGAGGAGAGCGGGAGATAGGTGGATGCTGGAGGCAGGGTGGCAGAGGGGACCACTTACAAATAAGTCTGCAGGTTGTGGCATCCTGTTAGGTCCCAGGATTTCCCGCAGGTCAGTAACTCATACCTGGTGTGCTCCTCCCTCGTTAGCTGGGCGTGGAGTGGCATTGCGTGCAAGAGCGCGAAGCTATGACGTTGCGGTCGTCTGCTTATACTTTCCGCCCGTCCCCAATTACTCCAAGCAGATCACAGCCTACTACAAGACATGTGACTTGCTAATCCAGTGGGCCAGGCAGTTACCAATATGGGGCACCCACAGATGTGTTCCAGTATTATGTGCGGATGTTAACTCAGGCTTTGGACTACAACGTCGGTCAGGCAGTGATGAATGGCTTCCAGTACGTCACCCCGCCATCGGGACGGCAGTTACGCCTGTTAAACAAAAGTACTCAGCTGACGTTGTGCTGGCTATGTTACAGGACCTTGATCTAGTTGCTGTCAACACCCACAAAGGAGCTGGACCAACCTTCTATGGGAACGCACGCAACAGCTCACAACTCGACTTTGTGTGCTTACCGCAATGTTGCCTACCTAATGTTACGGCCGCTGGCCCACTACGAAGAATGGCACGAAGGTTACAACTAGCCCACACTGTCGACCCACGAGATCATATCCCAGTACATGTCAGAATATCGTACTCGTTAGCTGATGTTCTCTGCCTCCCGAACCAGATCCCCACTCACCAGAGGCTCGGCCTTGTCCCCACCACGCACAAGTGGAACAAGGAAGCGTTAGGGGATGCACTTCGGACTGGGGCCCAGCGAGCGGAATTTTTACAGGCAGTTGAATCACGGCTTCTTGCTGCTGAACATGACATCGAGACTCTTCAGAGAGACGAACAGACTACGAATGCAGAATGGGGTTACTTTGTCAACATCCTTAACCAGGAAGCATCCAGGTTTTTTACTGCTACTCCAGAGTATTCTCCAGGTTATCGCGAACGGTCCCAGGAGGTCAAACAATTGCTGCAACAGAGAAGGGACATGAGGGAGCAGTTGGGGCAGCAGCAGGACGAGGAGCAGCAGCAGAACATCAAGGAGGAGCTCAGGAGGAGGAGCAGGGAGCTGAGGAGGCTACGCAGACGTTACGTTGTCCTCTGGCGTCGGGACCTCACCTCGGACTTGCTCGCAGCACGGTCTCAGAATCGGCAGGGAGAGGTCGCGAGGTTGTGTCGGCTGCTGTCGGGACGAGGAACGGGACCTCGGAAGAGGAACTACCGTCGGGCCACCGAGCTGATGCCGACGGCGGCGGACCTCTACGCTCGCTTCCAGCTGTCTTCAGGGGAGGGAGGGATGCAGGCAGAGATAGTCGACTGGCCCCAGATGATCGATGACTACGTTTATCACCCTGATCACGGATTGGAGGCTCAGCAGTTTACTTCCCCCTGGACCCAGGAGGGCCTGGAATGGGCTCGACAAAAATTGAAGCTGATAGGACAATACCTGCGCAGGGCTGCCAAACGAAGAACGTCGCCACCCTGGTCCCTTCCTATAGAAGTGTTCTGGATGCTGTTCCACCCGTACCGGCGTACGTCGAGGAGGTTCCGAGGTGTAGGTTATCAGGCTCCAGACCTTGATCTGCGTGCTCTAAGGCGATTCCTGGTGATATTTGTACATAAGATATATCGAAGTAGTCAGCCACCAGCAGTCTGGAGCTTGTCGATGGGGGTGGCCACTAATTGGAAGAGGGTCATACACGTTTTGTGCCCCTTTGGCAAAGCCTTCATCGCCACCAGCCTGGACCCAGTGCAGATCACCCAGGAACCCGAGTTCGCCCACGGTTGTGTTCCCAGGAGGCGCCGCGAGACGGCCATCATGATCCAGCAGTCAGTTGGATGGAGGCTTAGGAGGCTAGGGATACGGCATGTCACGGAGCATAAGGACATCACGAACGCGTTCGGTAGCAGTTCTCGTGAGGCTATCCTGGAGGCCAACCAGAGCATCATGAAGGAGGGGGAGGCTAGGTTTGGGGTCCAGAGGCTGCAGTTATCCACGGTGTGTTTCTCAGGGCTGGATGGGGTTTTTTTTCGCCAAGCCTACGGTTGGAGCGCTACAAGGAGATCCCTGGGTAGTTAAGGTATTCACACGAGACATAGGAGGGGTCTTCGCGCGAGCACAGCAGGATCATCATAACTCCCAGGACGAAACAGCTACGTGGTGCACGGTCAGGCTCCCAGCAGATGATGATCAGGAGATGGTTATGGACCTATCATTTCATTCATATGTAGATGATGCCGCCAAGAAGTTACTTATTGCGGACCAGACGACAGACTTGGCGCAGGAGGTCAGCAGGCAGTCCTTGCAGTACGATGATTTGTTATCGCGACGACTGACTGAACACAACTATCAACTTAACCCAACAAAAAATGAAACAGTGCTTGCACTTTTTGGGGATCAAGCTCAGAACTGCAGAAAACAAATACGGACTGGCAATATTAGGTTAGCTGGACAACCCAAAGATTCTGCTAAGTACCTGGGTAGTATCGTTAGAGGTGATGGAGCTTTCTCTTCTGAACTGGAAAATAGGCTTAGGGCCACTGATGTTGGTTATCACAGTATGGGGAGATTCTGGTACCAGGCACGAGTCCCTTATGTTGAACGACGTGCTGTCTTCCTATGTCGTGTCCTAGGGTCTGCGTTATCAGGCGTCGAGGCTTTCCTCCCAACGCCTGCTCAACTACAGCGATTGCAGAGCAGAGTAAATATGTATGCTAGACGTGCTATGCGAGGGCTGGCCACTAAGGAGCAGAACGGGCATAAGGTTTCGATCAGTAACGAAGAGGTTTGTAGGTACTGGAAGATGGCACCACTTGAGATCGAACTGCGCGCACGGCGTATCAAGTGGTATCAGCGCTGGGTTCAACAACCTGATCGTCACCTGGCAGAATGGGCAGCTTTGTTTGGCACCATGCAAATCGAGTCGCAGAGAGGAGTGCAGATCGTTGGACAGGACGAGCGTCTTACAGAAGATGCTTGCCCCTGGGCTCGTAGAGTAATATCAGATATTAACTCCCTGGCTGACTTAGGAGATGACGAATATGAACATGTACAAGAATTTGATAGCAGTCCAATGAGAATATTCCAGGACGAGAGCTTAGTCGAATGGTTCACCCAGTTTGACCCAAAGAAGTTGCGAGCTAAGTGGTTAAGTGTAGCTATCCCCCCTCCTGGATATGCTCATCCTCAGCCTCAGGAATCACGACCCGACCCGCCACAAGCAGCAGGAGATATGTTACCATGTTCAGTACCAGGATGTACTCGTTCTTTCCATACCTCCAGGCAGTTATTGGTTCACCTCAGCAGGGGGCATGAGTTCAGATCTATCCTTGGTCTGGCAGTTACTTCTAATGTATGTTTTGTCTGCGAGAGCGTTTTCGAGAGCCGTAACTCGGTCTATAAGCACCTCATCGACTCCTTCGAAACGGGTATATGCGTCACACAAAGAAGTACGACCTTCAAACATCCAGGCCAGGACAACACTGATGAGTGCCCATTGTGTAAGGCTCAAATACTTGCTGGGGCTCCGCTGCGAGCCCACATCCGTACGCATTTTCTCCACCTCCCAGCACTCGACGATGCCAGGAGAGGGCGCGGCAGCAGCGGCGAGGCCCAACGAGCAAGAGGCAGCAGGAGGCTCGGAGATGGCGGCAGCGCCAGACTGGATGATCATCGGCACGGCCAACAAGCGCAAGGAGCTGGACGACACCTCGGACGCCCAGGAGAACAAGAAGGGGCGGCTGGCCGAGCAGGTCAAGCGCGACGGGCTCAAGATGGGCAACTTCAAGGCGCTGCTCGCCATCCTCACGAAGCTCAGTATCACGAACTCCAGGGAGCTCGCCGACCTCACAGGCGCCTGCTTCACGTGCTTTGCTGCTCCCCGCGGGCGCCCCGCTGATCGGCATCATGCAGCAGGCGGGCAAGGCCTACGCCCAGGACTGCAAGAAGAAGGGCAAGCAGCACGGCAACGGCCCCCCGTGGCCGCACGTCTTCCTGGCTCTCCTGAAGCACTTCTGCCAGATGACGAATTTGGACGAGCCGTCGATCAAGGCGTTCAAGACCTACTGGGGGGTGATCACGAGCCTCAGCAAGGAGGAGGGCCTGATCCAGCTGCAGGAGCAGATCAGGTTCCTGCGCATCAAGGGCTGCTGGTACGACCGCAAGAAGGACGACAAGCCGACCAGGTTCAAGCTGCAGTTCATGATGAGCCCCAACTCCCAGGTCAATGGAGTGAGGAACACCTCCGACCAGACCAACACGATCCCGCTCCACCAGGCCTTCTGCATGGCAATCCTCAAGCAGGGCGGGGAGTACAAGGCGGGCGGACCCCCCAAGGGGGCGCTGGAGAGAGAGGCGGAGAGGCTGCTCAAGCGCATGGGGATCGAGAGCGACAGGCAGACCATCGAGGTAGACAGCGACCAGGACGGGGAGGGGTTCTGAGGCCGTTGCGTCTTGAAGCAGTGAA